ACAGTCATACAGATCTACGCAGAGGTTTCTGTAGAGCACGTACAATGCATACATCAAAAGAGAAAAACAAGAAAAGCCATCCAACTCTGTCTCCCTTTGTTTCTCAAGTATATCCAAATTCAGCCAAGAAAGCATACATGGGAACTGAGATTGAAGCACAACCTTAACCGGCAACCTTTTAATTAGATTGAGAAAAAGAAGGGAGATGGTTGAAGCTTCAAAAAAACAACTTCTTGATTCAAAATATTCAACAAATCAACAAAGGTCAAGGATCCCATCTTAGACAGATCGTTTTGAATGCCACTTAATCTTTTAACCACAGAAAATTTTCAATTCCAAATAAACTTCAACTTCAAGGAAATCCAAAAAATGCAACACTCTCAAATTAGAAATACTGCAAGATAGATACTTTATTGAAACTAATAGTATCTGCAGGAAAGAACATTGGCTTCTCAACCTCATCTTGTTTACAATCATTTACAAATGTGCAACAATTTAATATTTTGGCACAAACACAACAACAAGAAGTCACAGCAACAACAACAAACAAGTCTGCGGAAACCCCAATACAAAAAATCAGCATAATTGCACAAACCAATACCAATTCAGCCCAAAAACAAAAAAAACCCAACTAACATAGAGAGAAACCCCAACAATGCAATAACAGAGAAAAAAACTTTGCCCAGTAAATCAAAAGGTAAGAAAGAAAAAAGAAGAACTCACATAAATATTAAGCTGCCTCATGAAGCTAGAAAAGTTGCTGTGCTTGAAATACTTGGGCAACATTGAAATCGAGAACTGGGCCATGTCCAGTATCGCAAAGCTGTCGCCGGCTTCACTCCACGATATTATACTGTCGCTGTCCTTGTCATCCACCATCTCGTAGCATTTTCTGAGAAAAGGAGGCACCGACCCCGACGGCCCAGACCCATCTCCTCCGCCCTTCTCCGCCGATTTCACCATGTTCAAGAAAGCCAAGATTTTGAAACTGAATTCGATTTGGGATTTCGGTTTTAGGAAATTCCCCGGAGGATTTCAGTGGAATTGGATGGAATCGGACGCAAAGTGTAGAGTTTTGACGACAAAGTTTCGATCTTTGTTTCTTCGTGTTTGCCGTGTTGACGGGGGTTTATGGTCTCTGCTCTCTGGGACATTCGAAAGACAAACTGGTTTTGTATCTGGTTTTGGCGTGTGCGGTTGACACGTGGAACATAAAGAGTGGGCCGAGGTCAACCCGGTTGGGTTTCTATCCGTACGAACCCAAAATAAAATGGGCCTTGTCCAGCCCGATTAGGTGACGATCTCTTTTCTTTTGTTTTATTCTTATTTCAGGATGAGCCACTTGGGTTAATGGAGGTGATTACGGTGCGGAATATGAGTAGGCTAGAGATTCACATTTAGGGTTTAAAATTAAAAGTCGTACACAAACATGAGTTAATACGACTGAAATTAAATTTTTTGGGTTAATCTCAATTTACTATCAGAAGTTTTTTGGTTTTTAACGTTCACTAATACTAATCTACCAAAATTGGGATATTTTTATACATTATACAGCACAATTTCCATCAAGGTAGTATAATATCATTATTGACGGAGGTTTAGGGTATTATTATTAATATCACAATTATTAGCATCAAAATATTAACCATTTTATTCGTACACGTCATCAGTTAACGAAGGTTCTAACGAAAATATATAATGTATCAAATTATTAGTACGTTATATTTAGTATATACTAGTAATTGTATACATGCTATGCAATGCATGTACCTAATAATATTTCAACTACTTTAGTGATCGTTTATACAAATACATGCATAACACGTGTACAATTACTAGTCTTAATAAAGGCAACCAAGTCACTTCTCCCCCACCAAGAGAAGTGTATTATTTGATTTTGATGTTGTAGCAGTCGCAATATATAAGAAAATAAGTTGTACAATGGTTTATCTATAACAGTCTATTTTTTTCGAGAGTCAAAGGACATGTTGAGATATTTTAGTTTCTTTATAAACTATCATCTTGTGATTCACACGCGTGTCAAAAATCAAACTTAAAACATATTGGGTAGAATATGAATATACAAATCATTTTTACACACTGAAGAAATTTGAAGCAAATCTTATGGAATAAGTAGTAAGAATATATCATATTCCATTATTCCTGTTTGGCCATTTTCATATGTCCAGTGCCACCGTTGGAAACCCTCCCCCAGGCTATTCACTATTTAATCGACCCAATGAACAGTAACTGCCTTTTGCATATCCACCATTGCTTTGAATAGCCCTGACAATAGGTAATAAAATATTAGTATTTTTTTATTTATAATTAATATTATATTATTTAATTGTATAAATTAATATTATATTATTAATTTATCTTTTCCAATCTCTTCCCGAAACTTCTACCATTTTTGTTTTCTTCTTCCTTCCCAGTCTCTCACTCCCCTCTCCCTCATCATCTTCCCTTTTTTCTCTTACCGACATCTTCCTTCCCGCTCTCTTTTTCTCCGGTCGACAAATCCCTTCCCTTTCAGACACCTTTTATTCCCCTAAACACCACAAATCAAACCCAAAGTTTTATGCCTCCAACCAGCAATTTGAACTCTCTTTGCTCACGGGTCCTTTGATCTTCCACTATTTGCAGATGGACACCACCATGAGACCAAAACATAGCAGATTATCAAGAACTTTCAGCAAAGTCATCAACCTCCGCACCGCCACGAGCAGAATCGCTTCCAGCAATGGCATTTGCCTCCTCGCGTTGAACGGAAAGTTCAAGGACAATCTCGACTGGAGAAAGGATGACAAGAAGGAAGAAGAGTTCAGAGTCAGGAATAGAGCAGTTATGGAAGCGCTTCTGGCCAAGCTCTTAGCCGGAATCACTTCCATAAAAGCAGCTTACACGGAGCACCGAACCTACCCGCGTCAGCCTTGCGTCACCTGACGTCAGTCTTGCGTCACGTGGCCTTCGGGTTCTCGGGTTGGCAACTTCTATCGGGCCTCTCCCTCGGGCTCCCTTGCCAGCACACGCTGGACCTGCTTGCTCGGGCTTTCTGGCCTTGTTCATGCCCCTGTCCATCGGGCTCCAGCACACGCTGGAGCTGCTATGAGGGATCGAAACTGGCTCTCGTGAGCGTGCGATGCTTTACGTGGTGGATCACAACTCTTTACGACATGTTTCGGCCTGTCCAGGCTTCATTGATTGCTTGAAACTTGGCCCCTTAGCGGCTATGTCCGACAGTCGTCGCAATATTATGTTATTTTTCTAGGACCCGGCTTCTCTGCCCTCCCACTTCCCATACACTCTCATCCCCTCATATTTTGTGCGGTCACGGTTAAGCCACGTTAACATTTTATATTGACTTTTTTATAGCGATAATAAGACAAAAAACAATAGTAATATAAAATGTTGACGTGTCTTAACTGTTACTGCACAAATAGAAGAGGATGTGAATGTATGGAAGTGGGAGGGCAGAGAAGCCAGATCCATTTTTCTATCCAAACTATTGCTATGAATAATATTTAGGTACCCCAGGTGACTACTTTATTATCACTTTTTGATTGGCCTAATTAAATATGTGGCCTGCCACTTGTTTTTCAAAGTTTAAAAAGAAATTAACAGAGCATATTTATTGCTTTTTAAAATAATTCAACACTGAAATGTTATTGGACAAAGTTAAAAGGTGAGTGAGTACTTTAGCATGAATTATCACTCAAGTATTATCCTTAAACTATTTGATACTATTTACTAATTAATTTTTTTTATTAACTATATATGCTAATTACATACAACAACAACAAAGCATACTTATTCGAATAAATATAAAAAAATTAGACGACAAATTACTTTGTAAATTTAATTATCTATTTTATACACCAGCAATAATTTTACAATCCTCTATAAATATCCTATGTTTTTTATTGTTAAATTTTGATTTTTATATTTTTGAATAAAATATTAAAAAAATTAAAAAATCTGAAATATCTTATATTCCAAAACAGCATGAAAATCTCATCCACTAATTCAGCTTGCTTTACACACATGAATTTACTTGTGTTTTTATAAAAATTATTTCTAAATATATTTCTACTGAAAACGTTTTCTTCATCTTACAAACATTTATAAATCACCACGTTTCTTTTAGAATTTCAAACGGGTAGCGTGGCAACAGCTGGAAGTCACCGGCTCGCCATGTCAGCAATGCGGTCCAAGCTCGATGATGTAATGCAAGTGGATATTATTTTTTTTTAACCTTTTTTTTTTCCCTCAGCTTGGAGGGTTGGAGCTGGATCTGATGGACTGTCCAAGTACGCCATTAAACTACTAGGATTAATTCTGGGATTTGGATCCTAAGCGAAGAAGACGGAGCCTTCTGATCTAAATACACGAGGTTGTTAGATTTTGATCAAACGATTAAAATTATTATAATTTAAAAAAAATCTTTTATTTATAACCGTTGAATCAAAATCTAACGGTTTATGTGTTTGAATCAGGAGAATTCATCTCCCTTACCCTGGAGAGGATCCAAATCCTCAATTCTGGATAAGAACCTGGGACACGTCTAACTACAAGAGAGCGACACGTCGTTTGCGTGACATTTTTGTTTCTAGATATTTGTGTAAAATGACAATGTACCCAGCCGGCGGTTCGGCCATTTTTCCCCGTAAAACTCGAAACAAAAGAAACAGATAAGGTTTTGTGTCAGAGTGCTTACGCGGTATGGACAAGCCCCTCGTGTGGGTCCCACCTCAATGCAGGAAGCCTCGTGGCGGAAACACCAAAGGACAAGGGATAAGAACCAGAGGCGGAATCCACTACTCTCTCCCCTCTCTTCCGAAACCCATCCCAGCCGTCCGTTCTAGTCGCCTCCGTACTGATACCGAATCTGACGGCTACAAAGTTTTCGTCGTTTTCAATTATCCTTTCTCTTCTTTGAAAAAAACAAAGTAAACCCATTAAATTAGTAACTGTGTGAAAAACAAAGCAAATTGCCCAGAAACATTATCCCCCACTATTTTATGTTTTGCCTCAGTTGGTCTGATCCTCTTCTCTTTAGAGAGAGAAAGAGATGGGAGGGTGGGGAGAGAGAGAGAGAGCGAGAGAGAGAGAGAGAGAGGGGAGCTTATAAGAGAAGACTGTGATCACTGAGAAAGTCCCATGGAAAGGAACCAGATTTTAGGGCCTTCTTTTGTCTCCTACAATCTTTGATTAGATTTTCCATCACCCTTCATATTCTTGTTTCCGTCTCTTCAAATTCCACGAACATAAAAGTAGGGTTTTCTGCAAAAATCTCAGCCGCTGGTAACATCTCAAACTGCTCTCAATTTTATCATTGAAAGTTTGGATCTTTAAATTTTTTTTTATTACTCTTCTTGTTGCTATTGCTGTTGATGTCTTTGGTTTCGGTTCCAGTCTATATACTTTTCTCAGAAAGTGTGACGACAATGTCTAGTTGAATGTTTGGGTGTCATGTATTTCTGTGCTGCGTCTGATCTGAATCTGTTCCATTCTTTCTTACCCGGATAACAAGAAAAGTACTTGGTTTTATCCGTTCCCTTTGTTTCGATTCACTTCTCAAAGCTTTTATCTTGCAAGATATGTAGCCAGGAAGAAATGGTGTCGAAATCGTATTCCAATCTTTTAGAGCTTGCGTCCGGCGAGGGAGACTCGTTTGGCCGAATTGGCCGGCGAATCCCACGAGTTATGAATGTGGCCGGCGTGATGTCCGATGTGGATGATGAAGGGTACACGTCTTCATCGTCCAGCCAACGTGACCGAATCATCATTGTGGCTAACCAGCTCCCCATAAAAGCTCAGAGGAAGACGGATGACAGTAAGGGTTGGATTTTCAGTTGGGATGAGAATTCGCTACTCCTCCAATTGAAAGATGGTTTGGGGGATGATGAGATTGAAGTGATTTATGTTGGTTGTCTTAAGGAGGAGATTCACCCGAACGAACAAGATGAGGTTTCCCAATTCCTCCTGGAGACCTTTAAATGTGTCCCAACCTTTCTCCCACCAGATCTTTTCAGCCGCTACTATCATGGGTTTTGCAAGCAACAGTTGTGGCCGCTGTTTCATTACATGCTGCCCCTTTCGCCGGACCTCGGTGGTAGGTTCAACCGATCGTTATGGCAAGCGTATGTGTCAGTGAACAAGATTTTTGCAGACAGGATCATGGAAGTGATTAACCCAGAAGATGATTTTGTCTGGGTACATGACTATCATCTGATGGTGTTGCCGACCTTTTTGAGGAAGAGATTCAACCGTGCGAAACTTGGGTTTTTCCTCCACAGTCCGTTCCCTTCGTCTGAGATTTACAAGACATTGCCTGTCAGGGAAGAGATTCTGAGAGCCCTTTTAAATTCTGATTTGATCGGATTCCATACATTTGATTATGCAAGGCATTTCCTCTCTTGCTGTAGTCGAATGCTTGGTCTTACGTATGAATCCAAGCGGGGTTATATAGGCCTCGAGTATTATGGTCGAACTGTTAGCATCAAGATTCTTCCTGTTGGCATACACATGGGTCAGCTGCAGTCCGTTTTGAGCCTACCCGAAACGGAAGCCAAGGTTGCTGAGCTTATCAAACAGTTCTCTGACCAGGGAAGGACAATGTTACTTGGAGTTGATGACATGGATATTTTCAAGGGTATAAGTCTGAAGCTTTTGGCAATGGAGCAGCTGCTTGTTCAGCATCCAGAGTGGCAGGGAAGGTCGTGTTGGTGCAGATAGCCAATCCAGCAAGGGGTCGGGGAAAAGACGTGAAAGAAGTTCAGGCAGAGACATCCTCAACTGTGAAGCGAATTAATGAAACGTTTGGGAGACCCGGATACAAGCCTGTCGTGTTGATTGATGAACCACTCAAGTTCTATGAGAGAATTGCATATTATGTTGTTGCCGAGTGTTGCTTGGTGACCGCTGTCAGGGATGGAATGAATCTAATTCCATATGAATACATAATCGGTCGGCAAGGAAATGCGAAATTGGACAAAGTTTTGGGGTTGGAGCCGTCCATCCCGAAGAAGAGCATGTTAGTTGTGTCCGAGTTCATTGGCTGCTCTCCTTCTTTGAGCGGAGCAATTCGTGTGAACCCCTGGAATATTGATGCTGTGGCAGATGCAATGGACTGTGCCCTTGAGATGGCGGAGCCAGAAAAACAGCTCAGGCACGAGAAGCATTGTAGATATGTCAGCACGCATGATGTTGGGTACTGGGCCCGTAGTTTCCTCCAGGATTTGGAAAGGACATGTAAGGGCCATTTGCGTCAGAGGGCCTGGGGTATTGGGTTCGGGTTGAGTTTCAGAGTTGTGGCCCTTGGTCCAAACTTCAGGAAGCTTTCTATGGAGCATATAGTGTCAGCTTACAGAAGGACTACAACTAGGGCGATCCTTCTCGACTATGATGGCACGTTGATGCCTCAGGCTTCCATTGATAAGAGCCCGACTTCTAAATCCATTGAAATCCTGAATAGCTTGTGCAGAGACAAGAACAACATGGTTTTCATTGTTAGTGCGAAAAGTCGCAAAGTACTAGCTGAATGGTTCTCTCCTTGTGAGAAACTTGGAATTGCTGCTGAGCATGGATACTTTCTACGGTAATTTGTGCAAATATCAATTTTTATGCTTATGGAAATGCAGTTTAAATTAAAAATAACGATTATATGGAAACAGGTTAAAGCGAGATGCAGAATGGGAAACTTGTGTACCGGTTGCGGACAGTAGTTGGAAGCAGATTGCAGAGCCGGTAATGAAGCTTTACACTGAAACAACTGATGGTTCCACCATTGAAGACAAGGAAACTGCGCTTGTGTGGTGTTATGAGGATGCGGATCCTGATTTTGGATCATGCCAAGCTAAGGAACTTGTGGATCATCTTGAAAGTGTGCTTGCTAATGAACCAGTTACTGTTAAAACCGGGCAGAATGTAGTTGAGGTTAAGCCACAGGTTTGATACACCCCCCCTTGTTAAGTTGAATCTATGTTGTTCTGTAAAAACTTGCTCTAATCTGTATGACTGTTATCCAAACTGTACACAAGCTTAGTAACACATGTTAAACTGTAAAAGCCAATGAGAAGTTCGGAGAGGGTCGAGAGTTGGTGAATCTCAAGGCTAAAATTAGATGTTGAAACCAAGACTGTTAATTGGTATTATTTATATCTTAAATGTGTTTATCGAAAATTTGTAGAGTTAAACAGGTATAGTATATACTTTTAAGCTTTTAACAAATGTAAATTTTGGAAAAGATTATGGTCCTTTTCGGGGCAACAGATGAAGTATTCTCTGTTTGTTTCCTCTAGCATTAATGATTAGTCGAGTTTTCTTTACTCATGAAGTTCATGCTTATTGAGTTGGTTGCATAGGTGTGAAAACTTTTCTTCGTATGAATTGTGGAATTTTGCCTTTATATCCTGATTCCTGATATGTCTTATCTCGTATCTACAATGTACGAGGCTTCGGGTACTAATTGGATCATGTGAAGCATTCATGTGAAGTGCGAAGTTTGAAACAAAGGGACTTACTGTTATAAGCAATGTGTGTTGACTCAGATTGCTGAACTGGAATTACAATATCCCGATTAGCTGTAACACTCTCGTGTGTATGCAGGGCGTAAACAAGGGACTTGTAGCAAAACGTCTACTTTCCACCATGCAAGAAAGGGAAATGTCACCAGATTTTGTTCTCTGCATAGGGGATGACCGATCTGATGAAGACATGTTTGAGGTAATTACAAGTTCCATATCAGGCCCGTCCATTGCTCCCAGAGCAGAAGTATTTGCGTGCACAGTTTGCAAAAAACCCAGCAAAGCCAAGTATTATCTGGATGATGCCGCGGAGATTGTTAGGTTGATGCAGGGATTGGCATGTGTCTCTGAGCAAACTGTACCTCTGTAAGTTTACCAAAGATAAAGATAGGGCATTGTCTCATTTTCTTTGTAACTGCCACAATGAAGGCTGCGCGGTGTATTTCACAGGTGCTTCTGTTTCCTTGCTTCTTTCTTTCATCATGTAAAAAGTATGTAGTGTTATGAGAAGCTGTGCAATCGGATACTTTTTTCGCATTTGTTGTTGTAAAGCTGTAAATGTGTTTGTGCATGAAGTCCGAACTCGTTTCACCGCATTTGATAATCGGCAGTTTTAAACGAGGGAAACCTCGTTCATGTCAATTTTTCTTATGTCTGATTGGTTTCACCTAGCAGATTGATGTCGTTTGATATACCGGACGACCCTTTCGGTGCATATGTTAAAAATCTGTTCATTTTTTTGGATCCGCCGGAGTGGCTGCAGTTGGGGTGCCGGAGAGTGAGTCCCCAAGCGAACATCTCCGGTGTGAATGGGGTAATACATTTTTGTATTGGCTGGGCTCTCTTGTGTTGCTTTTCTTGGTAACTCGGCAGAATTCATACCTTAAGCCTTAAGTTGTCTTGTACGGTATCGTTTGTTGTGTTTTATATGCTAAGTTCTTCACATTTGTTCTCAAATGGAATCATAATCCCGGTCGTCATTGATCCTCGTTTTCTGTCGTGTTTCTTGTTTGATTCCTAAGGTTGTTCTCTTGTTGTCACATATTCTTGGATCCTCGCCCATGTCTACGGCTAATGGGTTTCTTCTTCTTCCCTTGGCCCATTAGGATTTGGATCCTTTCCTAAGCAGGGGGTCCAAATCCTCCTGATCCGATAACACGGGCTATTGGATTTTAATCTAACGGCTACAATTATTATAAGTTTTAGAGAGGTTCTCTATTTGTAGTCGTTGAATCACAATCTAACGGTTTGTGTTATTGGGTCAGGAGGATTAGGACTCCCTACTCAGGAGAGAATCTAAATCCGGCCTATTAAAAGTAGAAAAATAGGTTAAATCATTAAAATAATTAAGGTAGTGGAGTAGATAGACTTGAACTTTATCAAGGTCCCGCACCATAATTTTTTTATTCTTCATTAAAAAAAAAGAGAGCAAAAGACGGGCAAAGTCACGACAGTCACTCTTTTAATGGTTGAGAAGACTTTAAGAGGTATTTTAGCTTTCCGTGACCACTTTCGGGAATTTGTTAGTTTAAGAAATCGTACGTAGGTTCAGCCATGTGAAATACGGGCCTGAAATTCCCTACAAACAAATCTACATGTATAGTCAGGTATGGGAGTTCAACTAAATAAAAATAACTTTTTAATTTTTTGTAAGAAATATGTTACAAATGACGTGCCTGACATTGATTCATACGTTTTTGTCCATATTATGGACACTTTATTAACCTGGGTCAATTTCAGCAACTCAAAAGTTAATAATCTAAGAGTGAGATTTCGTCGTCGGTTTCGCGCTTTCTGCAAAAGTCACCTGTATTTTATGCAATAAGTGCAAAAGAGTGTAAATAGTTCAACAAAAGTCCAATGAAAAATCTAGATGAAGAAATTAACGTGAAGACAAAACCATGGAGAAATTCAAGTGCAAATCATTCAAAAATTATAATTGTAATTACTTGTAATCTGGTGGTGTACGCAGGGAAAGTACTAATGCGCTTGTTTAGCCAACGTATATGATACTCCTCAATCAACTAGAAGCCCTAAATTTTTGGATTTTTGCAAACTTGTAATAATGACTGATTGGAATATTATTTCAAATTAGTGTGGTATGCTCTAAAAAAGGCGGCGATCCGCTAGCCAGAACCTACTGCGAGTGGCCTCACGGTTCCATCAATGCCAGACACGATTTAGTTTAGCTTCATTCCGATCACTACTCTCCTCAAAGATGTGTCTGGTAAAGGTTTCTTGTTGCATGACATCAACCTTTATCTTCGATGTAAGTTTAACTAATATGTAACACATTTTTGGTTCTTAAGTATTCATCTAATGTAAAAGTAAGTTGAATTAGTTGATTAAGACAAACCGCATTTTTCCTTTTATATCTTAGTTTGAATCTAATTTATTAATTAGGCTTATTTTTAGCTATGCTCCTATAATAACATTTGACCTCATTTTGCACACAGTAACTCAAAAGTCATTACTTTACTCTTTGAAACTTAAAATTTGTTATACTTTAACTTGTATACTCTCTTTTTTGTCCTTGAAACTTATAGGTCAACATACGTGGGACCCAAAACCCTAGAAGACAATGCCACATATTGAATAAATTTGATTATAAATCTCCATTATTCGTTAACATTTAACAATAAGATAATATTAAGTTTAAAAGAAATTGAAGAGATGAAAAAAATAAAAATGACTTGGATTAGCCTGGCGCAATCAAATCAAATCCACATAAGAAATTACAGATCTAAGGCAATGTTGAGTGATTTTTGAGTTTTATAGAGACGACTTTCAAGTTTCAAGAGATAAAATGAGATCAAAATCGAGTTTTAGATGGCAAAGTGGAGCGCACTATGAGTCTCAGGGAGTAAAGTAGCGAATTTTTTAATTACATAGGGTAAAGTAAGATTAAATCGAATTCTAGGAGGCATAACTAAAAATAAGCTTATTAATTAATTAAGAAACTTGCTTCGGCTTTTTATTTATTTTTAATTGTGTATGGGTTACGTACAGACACGCCTCCAATAGCTGATCTGCAATATTTTCTAGTCTTTCAAGCCCACAAACTTTGGGCTCCGGTTCTGAATGAGCTGGCTCTAGGCCCAGTCTCAAATAGGACAACTCAGTCCCCTGCAATCCACGTCTGCTTGATGAGTCCTCAGCTATATGTAAACTGCACACGTTAGGGTTGCAAACAGGCCTGTCATAGGGATGCGCTTGTATCTTGAGGGCAGGAAAGCCAACAGGTACTACTACTTGTTGATCACGTTGAGAAATCACACCACATATATATAATGCAGCGGGCCGGATTCGGAATAGAAAGGATTAACAATTGTCAAATCGATAGAGTGATAAACTGAATTTGTTGATCACGCTGAGAAACCCTAATAGTACAACATTACGATGCTAGAATATGTACATATTGATGAAAAATGCCTTCTGTGATCTGATCTCAGGCTAGCCGTCCACCTCCAACATCTATCAAACACATGCCATTCATGTTGCGAAACAAGATAGATGACACACCAACATGGCGACGATCAGATGATATTGCGGACGACCGCTACTTTGAAGCCATAAACTGGAAAAAAGTTTTCCCATGTGTGCACCGTACTGGTAAAACACGACCCCAAACAGATGTCCTCCAAGAAAGATGCGTCCTTCGTAGTGTGCGGGGTCCAGCTTGTCGTAGAGAAACATGACACAAAGAATGTCGTCCATCTTCGGCTCTTGTTCTCCAAAATCTCAGATCATTTTGTTGTCCAATCAAATTGGACTGAACCACCGCCGGAACATTCCCAAAAGTCGTCCGTCAGGCCTCTTTGGTGCCATAAGTACATCGATTTCCGGGAGTAACTGGTAGAGAGAGAAAGTACTGCCCGATGATGATCAAATGATTGTGGACTCGAGTGTGTTTCCGACAGGGCCTCCGGTGCCACTGCAGTTGAAGTTTGTGAAGTACGTGGATATGTCACATCTGTGTAGGGCCCACAAGGCGGTCCAGGGTATTGGTTTGTCACTGGAGCTAGGCTCAACTTGGTGAAGGGGAAGATAAGTTTGCAAGTCAAGTTCTCTTCGTTAAACTTATGTTCACCGTCACCATCAGTCTCCCTCCGAGATTTGATGTACAAGTTGTGGATTTAGAAGCCTAATTTTTTAATTCTTTGGTAAATTATTGCACACAAGCTAGCTAGCTTATGTAATTTTGTCGCTCTAAAAATGTACAGCGAAGAGTAATACTTGGAGAGTTTATATTACAAGGTTGTAGATAACTCAAATTTATCAGATTCCTATTTCTTAATAGTTTTTCAGAATAATTTGAGTGGACTTGTAATTAACTATCGCCAAAAAATTAAAATTCTAATTCATTCGATTATTTTTTTTAAATGTTGGCCGCATTTTTGGATCCGAGTTCAAATTCATCTTTTTCTAGACCATCGTGTGTATGAAACAGAAGCTAAAAAGAGAGTAAAAGGACAGTCAACTATTAGGGCCTGTTTGATGAGCCAGTTGGGATGAGTTGCGATCAATTAAAAATTCAATAAGTTGTTTGTTGTGTCAAAATAAAAAGTAGACAAGATAGAATATGATGAATTATATAAATCAACAATAGAGTGAATTATCTAATTTATCCTCACATAGTTTACATATCCCATCATGAGGTTAGCAGTTTCGCGTTTAATCTTCCCGTCCTCCCTCTGTCAGCACTGTGATCTCTCTCTCTCTCTCTCTCTCTCTCTCTCATCACGAGTAGTGTTGAGAACGGGTCGTGACCGGCGATTTTTTGGTGGATTTAGATCAGAGGGTATAGAGATTGACTCCGGTTCAATTTGCAGCAGCGGGTACAGTTCAAATTCGGGTTCTGCGTAGATTTGCGGTGTAACAAGTGGGTTGCGGTTCGTGAGGGAATCAAAGTGAGTCGGTGGGTTAAGGCTTGTTTTAATCCAATCCTAACCAGTTAAGTTTGTCTGCACCAAGTAATAGAAGAAAAGCCCAACCTATCCAATTCAATCTTCACCCAACTAGTCCAAAATATGAATCTCATCCTGTCCGCCCCACGAAACGTGCCTAGGGTTTATATGCCCCTACTCCGTACGGTTGCTAAGATTTACTTTGTAATTTCGAGCACATTTACATGTATGATCCCCACACTAGGACAACCTACCTACCTACCTACCTACCAATCTATGACTCTGGCCATATGCTAGGCAGTATCTCTTCAGCCATATGTAAATAAAGGGTCACTGCATGTGCTTAAACGTGAAAGCATGCAGTTGTTTCAGTCCAAAATATATTCCTCACATCAACCACTATTGGATATTAACCAACGGAGCTATATTTTCATGTATTAATATTATAAAGCTAGAGCTGTCGGGAATCTTTCATCTCCAACCTTGGACCTTATATTACTCCGTAATTAGGTGCTGCATCCATGGTGATTGGTGAGGCCTAGGACCACTATATGCTTTAGCAGATGATATCATTTTTTAAGCCAGAGCACCCATAAAATATGTATACCCCTAACAAGTAGTCAAGAACACATGACGCAGTTACCTTAGGTAACCGTTAATAATCTCGAAATCTAAACCCTAAATTAATTAAAAGATGGACTAGCTAGATATGTCTCGTATTAAGGTCCTTATTTTTACATTGTTGGGATGCTGGCTTACAGTTACTTAACCTGCTTCCTGAAAGTTAACAAATCTACACACACACACACCATGTTGTATGCTAATGATCTAACATTAACATACTGCACAAACACACCCAATGGAGAATAAACTTCTCGTATCAGAGATATACCCTAAGAGATACAGTTGATATGTAAGAGACTCACTACTAATACCACCTAGATATTTTGTGCTAAAACACCATATCTAATAATATGCGGTCAAGTTAAAAATAATAGAGGTGATATTGGTAATGTGGCATGCTAAACCTAAAAATTTATTAGCAATAGCTAAAAAAGTAGACTGGAATAGCTTTAGGAAGAATATGTATGTGTAATACAAATTGCCATCCATTTAATGTTAATGAGATCGATGCGAGAAATCTGTTAATAGGTAGTAAAAAATGAAGAATATGGCGCAAGGGTAAAATGAGATTAGTGCTTCAAGCTCTATGAAGCTGTCATGTCTTTTAAAGTTAAGCTCCCTATAATTATAGTATAGGGTGGTCCACAACCCTAGCTATCTAGTTATTAACTTCCCTCTCACCAAATTGTCACTATATATAATGATGATGGTCATCTATCTGGCCACATTTTTATATACTAAGTACGTAGACTTTATTTGTTTAAATACTTGCTAATTAACGAAACCCAGCAAACCCTAACAGTGGTCCTCCATCTGAACATTTTATAGTATATAGATGTACGTAAGCGCATACACACACACACACACACACACACACACACACACACATTATACATATAGATGTATTATAGCTCCTAAATCGACAATTAGACGGTATCTTAATTTACAAAGTCTTCTGCAGCATCTTTTGACGCAATGCTTTCCGGTATACCAACTTGAATATTTTTTTTCCAAGAACAATCTTGAAGTTTTAAGTTTTAAGTTGGCTATAATTATGTTTGTGTTAACTTATATGCTGGGTTACATATAAATGTGATATATGGTTCATTACATTGCCAATGCATGCTTTCATGAAAAGGACTGCAAAAGAGATTATATAAAAAAATTGAGTAAATTGTAGCGATTGTCCCTCAATTTTAATCAAATTGGAGCAATAGTCTCTCAACTAAAAATCCATTACCATTGGTCCATCAACTTATCAAAACGTGTAACTATAGTCTTTTTCGTCAATTCCGTCAGAATTCTGTCAAAATAAGTTATGTTAGAAAGACCATTTCTACAATTAGATTAAAATTGAGGGGACCATTTAGAGAAAATCATCATGATTAAGTAATTTGAAAGAAAATTCTCGACAAAGGTTTTTCACACTAATTGCACATGCACGTTATATAGATTGATATGGATGGCCCTGCGAAAGATTTACTTTGCCCTTCATAGATCACGTGTAATTTGTAAGGACAATGCTTGAGAGACTAAATTTGTAGACAAAATTTTGTAAAGTAAATGATATGGAAGTTGATGATTGGATTATGACTCAAGTATTAATAAACGTGCTCATTCTTATTGGTAACACATCATTTATATTTAATTCGGTTTGATTTTTAACTTTTGAAACCGAAGAGAACTAATAACTTTCGATTTTGTTCGAATAACTTTCAATTTTGATCGGTTTCTTCAAGTTCAATTTGGGTTTTTTCAGTTTTGACCCGTGACCAATTCCATTTTTTTAGTATTTTTAGCCCACCCCTACCCAAGCAGAGAAAGACAAAAAAGTGAAAGTAAAAGAAGACTGCATACATTCTTTTTTTTCTTTCGAAGTCAAGGTAAATGAAGAAAGTATGATATTATCAGTTCAATTTCTAACCAGCCAATACCTCAACTTCTTTTTCGTTTGTTTCTAGGAGCAAATTATAGACCACACAACGTGAAATTCGTACACTTCGATTCTTATTTATATGTATGGATGCTTTTTTATTTGTAGTTGGTCCTTATTCATACCTTAGGACTTATTGTCTTACTCTCATAGCCACCGCAATTAGGGCATCAAGGGTCAAAAAGTAGTTGAAGTTACTTTTTTTATTTTTACATTATAGCCGATGTTTCAAAACATTATAATTTAAATAGAGAAGATAGCACATTGTTTTAACCAACTTGATTAGCTTGCATCTCCTTCTATAGAAGTCAACCTTGGGATAATACATGTCAATTTGACAATATAATTGAAATAAGTACCATATATTTATATAGAAGTCAGCCTTCTTTAGATTGGATCCATGTCAATTCACAATATAGTCGAAATAATTATTCATATATTTATAACTAGCTAGGATTAATTAATATAAGGCATGAATGTATCTGTGGTGGTACCACCAAGTTGCATGAGCATTTGTTCACGCCTTTAATTGTTCTATATAATACCACACCTACTGATCTTAGCCGTCACAAATCAAATCTACTTGCCTCTATAAGCTTCTGATAGATATATGGCAGAAGGGGGCAAAGGAACATTGCAGGTTTCAGCTGTTTCCATGAATCTCAACGGAGATCGTGAAAATAGTGCGATACCGATCACAACTTCGTTGCCTATGAACGCTGGAAAAGGCACTTACAGCTACTTCAACAACTCCTGCAGCCAGGTATAATCATATGCATTTGTGTTTTTTTTTTTTTTTTAAATATATATCATGCATATCACGGATGCATGAAACCCTTGATACGTCACGGTCAGCCAAAAAAAATCAAAAGCAGAAAAAAAAATGCATAAAATAATACAAGGCTAATTTTGTAATCTTAACAGTGTTTTTTTTTAAATTAAATAATTTTTAATGCAGTTTTTATTTATTTTTAATAATTAGTACTCACAATAGCCTAGCAATGATGTAATTTAATTTCTCTATTTTTAAACACATTCGAAACATCTTCAGAGACGTGTAATGCTGGTTATAAAAAAGGTCTTTTACACGCGAATAATAATGTGATTAAATTAATTGTCAAATGATTGTTTTTTTTTAAACAAAATATATTATCTACGCTAAGGGGCAGGAGAGGAGGTGAGTTTAGCCTCACAATGGAGAAATTTTTAATTGTGATGGAAACATGAGTGGTACACCACGTGTGGGCTTTACCAATATTATTATATTCATGTGCATGCTAGACATATACATACAAAGTTTCATTGTCCTACACACATAGTCCAAGTAAATTTTGGTCACCTGCCGTTCAATTTTAATCTAATAGCAGATTACAACAATTTTCTTAGGCCATGTAGTCTACGAGAACAGGGCTCTATATACATGCATGATAGTTTTTATATCAAGCTTCAATTTTTGTTTTCATCTGTTGCTGGCAGAACCAACATTGGGGTACTGGTTGCAAATGACCCCAAATAATTCAAATATCTCTCCTTTGAATTTTTATATGACCCCAGTAAGACCAACTCAATGGTTGGGGTTAAAACCTAATTTTTAGCCCGAAAAATTAGGTTCTAACCTAAAAACAGTTTTTCTCCTCTAATGATTTTAGCTTAACATTTTAACACAAAATTATTAAAGAATGACTTTAGCTTTTTTTTTTTTTAATTTTTTGTAATGTTTTAAAAATATAATTTATGTAGATTATTTTAATTTATTTTTATGAACATTTTAACCTAAAAATATTTAAATCCGACAACCCTAAACCTACCTCATTCTTACACATATGCACCACATGAAAGAACATGGAAAACCACATAACCTACCTGATTCTTAAACACAAATACATAGGTGGGTAGAAAGAAAAAAAAAAGAATTGTTTGACGAAAGTAAATCTTATGTGGATGTTTGCACAAATACATAGATATTTATAGAGTTTCTAGATGAATTTTGATTTGAATATTTTTTTAATTGTTTTAGCCATTGGATTTAATTTTATGTAAGATCTTTTTTTTACCGTATATTTGCTCATATTCGATCTCAACTGTAAGATTTAATGTACTAATAAATTTGATTTTTTAAGAAAGATTGAATCTAAGCCAACGGTCCAACCTCGTGGGTCGTCCCATAAAAAAATAGTCGTTGATCTTTCCACAAGTGACCGATAATGTCAACATTTGTGTTCCAACCACTAACATTGCCTCATTTTTCTAGGTTAAATTTGGCCCAAAAATAAGTTTTAACCCAAAACTTTTTATAGCCCAATGATTAGAGAAGTTTCGGATGAGTTTAAAACATAAATTTTGAGTTTTAATACAACCATTGAAGTTGGTCTACTGCCTAAGGCAACAAAATAGGGAGACCATGAATGAATATATATATATATATATATATATATATATATATATTTTTTTTTTTTAATTTAAACCTATCAAAATTACAACCTTTCCATAATTGGGAGAGCTTTTTCAATGGTCAATATTGTGACGAATCTACGTTGTATTGAAAATTAGTAGTTGAATAATCGCTTGATTGTATACAATGAAAAATACATTTGATTCTATTGACATGAATATATATTGTGATATGACGTTTGTAAAATATGAGAACGAAAGTATGATTATTATATATATTTTTTTGGATAAACGATATTATCTACATAAGGGGTGAGAGAATGAGTTAAACCTCATAATTGGCTAGTAATAATGTGGTTCAAATTCGTTTTTGGCGAGAATTGGACCTGATACCTGTCACTTATAAGTAAAAAGGAATACAACTAGATCGTAGTACTAAATGCCAAGTATGATCAATTTTTTAAAGTTATTGTTTATGATCCCATAGTTGTAAATTCCTGGATCCGCCTGAAACTGTATGGTGCCCATATATTTGCTACCTACAATGTCACATCCTGGCCCGGGGTCCACCACATTTCAGGCCCGCTCCACCACCATAACACGATATTGTCTGTTTTGGGCCCCGACCACGCCCTCACAGTTTTGTTTATGGGAACTCATAGGAGAACTTCCGATATTGTCCGTTTTGGGCCCCTACCACGCCCTCACGGTTTTGTTTATGGGAACTCATAGGAGAACTTCCCAGTGGGTCACCCATCATGGGAGTGCTCTCGCGCACTACTCGCTTAACTTCGGAGTTCCCATGGAACCCAAAGCCAGTGAACTCCCAAAATGTCTCGTGCTACGTAGGAATGGGAATATACATATAAGGCTTACAAGATCCACTCCCCTGGGCGATGTGGGATGTTACAATCCAGCCCCTTTAGGGGCCCGACGTCCTTGTCGGCACACCACGGCTAGGGTTAGGTTCTAATACCAAATTGACACACCCCGACCGAAATCAAGGCGTGATGACCAGCATGCCTTGATTTCGATCGGGGTGTGTCATACAAGCCTAGCTAGCCCTATGATCTTGCTTTTATTTTTTAGGAAAACTAACAAAAAGTTCAAAAAAACTTTAGTTTTAATGAAAAATGACAAATAAAGGTGTAGAGAATAGTACAAAGAAAAGCTAAAAATATGGTTTTTCGTTAAAAATGAACAATATCAGGAATGTTTTATTAAAACTTCCTTTTTTCCCCCTTAAATTCATACCAGAGAATAAAAGGCTAAAGAGAAGAATTATGTATTTGGAGGGATTACTTAATTTTTTTTTTTTTTTTTTGCCTTATACTTTTTAAATTTTAACAATATATAATCAGTTCCATCCAATTTAATATGGGCTTTAAATTTAACAAGTCGAAATTGGTTTCTTTCCAATAAAGTTTGGATTCACCTCCACTGGCCACAAATTGGTTTATTAAAAAGGAGAATTAATAAAAAAGGATTTGAAAACTTTGAGTTTTAAAGATAAGGATAAAATAAAGAGTAAAATGAATAATATCATGATTGATTTTTTAGTGTAAAAATGTGATTTTTCTTTAAAGTGAACAGTATCGGGAACTTTTCGTTAAAGTCCCCTTTTTAAATTGTTGGATGGACAAATACAAAACCTTTGCTTTTGTATTTTTCTTAATTAAGGGAATTGTTTTTAGCACTCTTAAAATCTCATTTTGCACTCCAAACTTTATATAATTAGAAAGAAAAATACATTTGTAAGGAGTATAAAATGAAAATTTTGAAATACTAATAACAATTTCTTTAATTAATATTATTTTAGATACGATCTTAGCCAAGTTTGTTATAGAGCAGTATCCTCCCCTTTTGGAATCTATTTAACTTATTCTTTTCGTAATTTAGATGAATTTTGTAATAGGTTAATAGAACCATTAATTTTGCAGAGACTGTGCACTGAGGATGAGAAGAGAAAATTCATTGAGGAAATTGAGCAGAAGCTTGATATGAAAAAACTCTTCTCTCTTTCAAACACCATTCGTCTTGCGGACTTGGGATGTGCCACTGGACCAAACACTTTCATGATAATTCAAGACATACTAGAAGCCATGCAATGCAAACACCAATCCCAATTATCCCAATCATGTCTCAACGATGATCAACATTCTGATGATCATCAAATGCCTGAATTTCAAGTCTTCTTTAACGACCAAGAGTCGAATGACTTCAACACCCTCTTCACCTCTCTCCCACAAGACAGGCAATACTTTGCAGCCGGCGTGCCCGGTTCTTTCCATCACCGTTTGTTTCCTGAGTCATCTATCCACTTTGTGCATACCTCATTATGTCTCCACTGGATCTCCAAGTCGCCGGAAGTATTACAAAACAAGGCCTCTCCGACATGGAACAAGGGCAGGATTCACTACACAAGTGCACCGGATGAAGTAGTTGAGGCTTATGCGTCCCAGTTTGCGGAGGACATGGAGAATTTTTTGAAAGCTAGGGCCAAAGAGCTTGTGCCTGAAGGAATGATGGTAATGATCTTGGTTGGAATTCCCAAAGGGATTCCTTATTCAGAAATTCCAATGGGTATGATGTGCAATTGTTTATCGTCTAGCCTCATGGATATGGCAAAAGAGGTAATATTGATAACTCATTAATAATATAAGCTCCTATAATTTACATTAAAATTTATTAATAATCAACTTTGAGGTGTGTTAGGATATCACATAATGGACAAAAACAATGAAAGTAGAATTTCACATATTGGGGTTCTAATAGCGAAGAGAGGCCAATAAGTGTTTTCACCTGGAAATATACGTGGATAGAACTTTTTCAATGAAACTGCATTAAACAGACAATAAAGCAGGTTTATTGTATGTTTAATTAGTGTTCTCTAATAAAAAAATTTATTTTTTATTGAAGCAAAACTATATTTTTTTACTTCTTTTTTCCCCCTCAAAGAGGAGATATTTTAGAGTATAAAACAATCGTTGGCTCATAAACAAGATAAAATAGATTTGATAAAAAAGAAGTTACTAGATAGATCACCATAAAAGAACAACTGCCTAACTTAACTGTAAATATGGTGCCATTTCTTTTCCTTCCGCAGGGAATAATTGAAGAAAGTGATGTGGATTCCTTCAACTTGCCATTTTATGCAGCCTCTCTAGAGGAGATGGAGGAGATAGTAGAGAAAAACGGGTGTTTTAGGATAGAGAGAATGGAGTTGACAAACCCAGCAGCATATCTGAAAGGTGGTCCGGTGGACATACCAGTTTGGGTCACGAATGTGAGGGCTGCAACGGAGGGAATGTTTGCCAAACACTTTGGAAGTGAGGTTATGGAAGAAATGTTTGGAAGATTGACCAATAAACTTGTAGACATTGCCGAACTCATAAACTCACGATGCGAAGTCAAAAGTCAGTTGCTTACTGTTCTCAAGCGCAAATGACTGACTGAAACTGAAAATTAATGTTATTAGCTTCATCTTATTTAAGAAAATAAATATAAGCAAAAGGAGAGATGAAATTGGAATTCATCATCAACTGGGAGTCTGGGACTCATGCTTTTGTGTACATGTGTATCAATTGACGTTAATATTCAGAAGCGTAAAATCCACTTTTGAGTGCCACAAACAAGAAACCAAACATAATGCATGAAGATAATTAATAAAAATATCGAAATCGTAACTCAAAGCATACGAAATGCTCGTTATATAAATTGATATGGACGCCCTGCAAAAGATTTGCCCTACATATATGGATTACATGTAATTTGTTTAAGGAAATGATTTGTTGATCATTTGCATCTAGGAGAATAATGAAACTGGTTTATTCATTTTTCCCAATTCCTTGTCAATTAAAATAAAAGATCGAATACTATGCAGTTGATGAGGACAGTTGGGCTTTTTCAAACGTGCAGGAAGGACATGCGAGGAAGAGAAGGATAAATTTAAAAAGTCAAAGTAGGAGAAGAGTGCTTTTTTCTTTTATACAAGTCGAGGTAAAAAGCTAATCAAAGTGGAGAAAATTATATACCACAACGTGAAATCCGCACGCGTTGATTCTTATTTATATGTAATATAGATACAGTTTTTAACTAATAGTTGGTCATTATTTATATTTTTATGGCTGAGCATCTTATTTTAAATTTATTTAGATTATAGATAATGAGATCCGAATTTACATGCAGATCAAAAAAAGATTACAATGCTCTAACTAAATTGATTAACGCACATCTCCTTCTATAATAGTCATCCTTCTTTGGATTCATGCATGTTAATTTCACATATAATTGAAATAATTATCGTATGTTTATAACCAGCTAGGATATACGACATGCATCTGTGGTGGTAGCACCACGTTTCATGCGCATTTGTTCACGCCTTTAATTGTTCTCTATAAGCCCCTATAAGCCCACACCAACTGATCTTAGTTAGTCTTCACAAGTCAAATTTACTTGCCTCTGTAAGCTTCTAATTAGATATATGGCAGAAGGGGGCCAACGAACGTCGCAGGTTTCAGCTATTTCCGTGAATCTAAACGGAGATCGTGAAAATAGGGCGAAACCGGTCACAGTTTCGCTGCCTATGAACGGTGGAAATGGAACTTACAGCTACTGCAAGAACTCCTACTACCAGGTATATATAGTATAGGGGTGTGATATCCACACATCCCTTATTACTTCTTACACACCTTTTTAATTTTCGGCCGTTGGATCGGATAAATTGAAGAATATCAAATGACAGAAATTAACAAGGGGTGTGTGAGAAGTAAAAAGGAATGTGTGGATAGCACATCCCATAGTATATACCTATGTATGTAATATGCCAATATGTATTTATTTTGTATATACTTATATATATATATGTGTGTGTATCACGGATGCATGAAATCCTTGCTATGTCATCAATGAGGGGATGACTTTTTTATTTATTTTTTGTTTGAGGTGAAAGAGTAGCGAATCGGTACATATTTTATCCAAGTGCTGGATGGACAAATTGATTGTTCCCAACTGTTCCAGATAATTAGCTAGTTATTAGAACAAAAAAATTTTGTCCTTGGATTCATACACAATCACATTAAAAATTGTAATTAAATAATCAAATTAGCTTAATTGAACCAATAATTTTCGCAGAAACTATCCGCTGGACTTGAGAAGGGAAAAGTCATCGAGGAAATTGAGCAGAAGCTTGATATGAAAAAGCTCTCCTCCTTTTCAAACACCATTCGTGTTGCAGACTTGGGATGTTCCACTGGACCAAACACTTTCATGATAATTCATGATATACTAAAAGCCATGCAACGCAAATACAAATCCCAATTATCCCAACCATGTCCCCATGATGATCAAATCCCAGAATTTCAAATCTTCTTTAACGACCTAGAGTCGAATGACTTCAACACCCTCTTCACCACTGTTCCACAAGACAGGCAATACTTTGCAGCCGCCGTGCCCGGTTCTTTCCATGTCCGTTTGTTTCCCGACTCGTCTATTCACTTTGTACATGCCTCATTATGTCTCCACTGGATCTCCAAGTCGCCGGAAGTATTGCAAAACAAGGCCTCTCCGGCCTGGAACAAGGGCAGGATTCACTACACAAGTGCACCGGATGAAGTAGTTGAGGTTTATGCGTCGCAGTTTGCCGAGGACATGGAGAATTTTCTGAATGCTAGAGCCAAAGAGCTTGTGCCTGAAGGAATGATGGTACTGAGCTTGTGCCTGAAGGGATGCCTTATTCAGAACTTCCAACGGGTATGTGGTACGATTCTTTACCGTCTGTCAAGGACGGATCCACGTAGGGACCAGGGAGGTCCCAGGATCCGTCGGCAATCCTAAATCGTTGCTATAAATTTTCCGAGGACCCCTCGTTCTCGAGCATGAGGTCTGTGTAGGTTCCAGTGGCTGTCTTCTTCTTGGAGAAGATGACCGCGCACGGAGAAGAAAGAAATAGGGACCCTTCCTGCCTCTCTCCTCCTTACTTCTGCCATGGTCTCATTCATCGGTGCCACCCAGTTCTCCTCCAACCTTTCTGTGTCCTCTGGTGGGGGCAGTACATAAGCCCAAACTTTCCCAAATTATTTCAATCATCTTAGTAATTTTTCTTATGGGTGAAGTTTCCTTCATAAGGTTAGTAAGATGGATATGATCTGTCATGGGTTGGTGAAATTTGGTGGTGGAGCTACCATGGCTTCGGGAGAATGGGGAGGGAGGCGGTTGGTGGAGGTATGGCAGCTTTGTTCTTAGTGAGAGAGAAGGTGGATGTTTGGAAACTAGTAAAAGAGAAAAATGGTGTGTTTGGTTAGAAAGATAGTAGGAGTTTGGGGAGAGTTTTATTTTGACCGGTGTTTTAAATTGGGGTGTGCTATCCACACACCCCTTTTTACTTTATACACACCCTCTTAATTTGCGGCCGTTGGATCGACTGAATTAAAGAAGATTAAATGACAGAAATAAACAAAAGGTGTGTGAGACGCAAAAAGGGGTGTGTGAATAGCACACCCCTTTAAATTTAGTGGTTCATATTAGATAATCAATAACTTAGGTACTCCCTAGTAACTTATGAAACCTCGTAATGGACGCTTGAATTATGATTTTATAATTTGTAATATTGTTTTGCATATGATTTTTGAATGAAATTTATTATATTTAAATTTTCAATGTTATTTTTGTCTATAAATTTTTTTACCTTTATAATTGAGACCCCCGAGTTTAAAATTCTGGATCCGCCACTGCCGTCTGTCTTCATAGATATGAAGAAAAGGGTATATAACTCATTACTTATCACCTCCGATAGTTTACGTTGAAAGTTACCAATAATTAATTTTGATATGTGTGTTAAGAACATAATTAATGGAAAAAAGAGAGTAGAATTTCACATAGAGAAGTGATTTATGCACATTTTTTTTTTTTTTTGCACAAATCAATTGAAAAGGACCGAAAATAAAATGACAACGAAACACTTTTACAGTCATTTATTATTTGTTTATTAATTTTTAATGAAATATTTATACTTTTTATTGACACAAAATCATATATTCCCCCCACCCCCCCTTTTTTTTTTTTTTTTTTCCCCTCAAAGAAGGTGTGTTTTAAAATATATATAAAACAAGTGTTGGACCACAAACTTCATCAAATAGCTTTCATATAAGAAAAAACATATACTATATAGTTAAAAGAAACATCACTAGAAAAGAACAATTGCATAAATTAATCACGTTGGGAATATGATGCATTCCGTTTCCTTCCATATGTAGGGAATAATTGAAGAAAGTAAAGTGGATTCCTTCAACTTGCCATATTATGCAGCCTTTGTAGAGGAGATGGAGGAGATAGTGGAGAAAAACGGGTGTTGTAGGATCGAAAGAATGGAGTCGTCAAACCAATCAGCATGGATGAAGGTTCCAGTTGACATACCAGTTTGGGTGAGGCATATGAGAGCTGCAATGGAAGGAATGACACTTTGGAAGTGGGGTTATGGATGAAATGTTCGAAAGATTGATCGATAAACACGTAGGCATTTCCGAGCTCATAAACTCAAGATGCGGCGAGAAAACTCAGTTGCTTGCTGTTCTCAAGCGTACATGACTCTCACTAAAACTAGAAATTCATGTTACTAGCTTCATTTTATTCAAGAAATTAAATTATTCCAGAAGAGTGGTTTGTAGTCTGTATTTTAAATTTTCTTTGTAGATATACACGCGTAAGGAATAACATTAAAAAGGTATTGGTTAGTGCTTGCCATATTCAAGGGGAAGCAATAGCACAATTTAATTTTCAATGCCACGTAAGAAAAACGCATTACCAATGAAAGCACATTTCAACCAAATTAGCACATTAAAAAATAGTGATAACATATACAAAATAGCTAAGATCCGAGTAAGGGCAATCGGTTAGCAATTGTGAGCTTTCAAACCAACTTTCAAGTGTCAGAAACAAGAAACCGATGATCAATCTACTATACAACAAGCTGATGTCCTCAAAAGTTTTTACCATCAGCATAAATAATTTAACTTTGATTTCATCTTTGTTGAGAGGTTACCCCATCATCAAGAAACAAATATCAAATATTTCAACTTTCTCAACTCAAATGCAACCCACTCCGGAATTGGCGTTCTAGAGGTGACATGTGTAGAGACCTTCTCATACTTGCTTTATCTTTTTTGATGAGGACGAGCTTGTCATAAACGCACCACGGAAAGCTGATGAAATGGTCACGATTCAGCCCCTCATTGTATGTGCCAAAATAATCAGGATGATATGTGACATGGTACCAAGCTGAAGCCTTTGCGTATACATCATCAGCTCCGGAATCTAGACCCGTTCCCTTCTCATTGAACCATGCCCGAGCTTCCTTCCTCAACGATCTCACAGCCATGTTTATAGAATCTGCATCCCGCCTCTTAGTGAAAGATTTTGACATTCTCATAACACTCCCACCAAGTATTTCAGCCTCTGTCTTGATCCCATAATAGTCCATCAGATTTCCCAACTTGTAATCGTAATTGCCTTTGTAATAGATAGCATCTTCAATGTAATCCTCAAAGCCATCAACTTCCATGTCAGGGTCGTATGACTGCTTTGCCACTTGACGAGTGAAGGATCTGATAGAGCTGTCATGAGACGCAATGTCCTTCACCTCTTGAAAAAGCGCTCCGATCACATTGCATGATTGATAGGTGGGCTTGTCATGTTTTTCCATGAAATCTGGAAATTCCTTGACATATAGATGTGCAGGTATTACAGCTGGCACACCAGTTTTTGGAAAGTCAACGGCAATTGAGAACAGCTTTGCAAGCTCTATACATGGTTCGCTCATTGCTTTTAAAGTATCTTTGTCTGCAAAAACAGTGTGGGCATTGGCAATTATGCCCAAGCTATCGTTGACCATGTAGTTCACAAAATATTCCTCAACTTCCTGGACAAAAAGAAAATGAACACAAGTATAACGAGACAAGAACGGGAAGGTGAATTAAAGAATTTGAATCACTGAAGTGCAAAGACATCAGGAGATGCATGAAGATTCAAGCCATTAGTCCAAAGCTTTGAAGGATCTGTAGAGGGAATATCATTTACTAACCAATGTGATGTTGTATAGCCATTAACGGATTCCAGTATTCATTACCTCCATTGTGACGTCATGATCCAATTCGATACTTGGTGCTGGGGTATAATCCATAGGTTGGATTTGTCTCCGAGGAATTAATTCTTGGTCCCAACAGACAAAGTAGATATCTCCATCAAGATCACTTCCTGAACATTCATTTGGATGAGGCCTACCATTGTAAATAAGTTGTCAATCATTACAGTGTAAGTAAGGAACTTAAGAAATTATAACAAATAGCATCCACAGAGTAAGTCCAGCAAATTTCGAAACAAATAGCATCTACGAAGTATGGAACTTAAGTTGTCAACCAAAGGCTTAACAATATGTGATTTATCTCATGCTGAATGATATCCACAACAGCTTGCATTAGATGACTGAAGTACACAGTGGTTATAAGGATGTTAACTGGAAGATATAACACTAATGAATTTAATCGAAGTATGTGGTCATGATTTCTGCTAATCTTTGCAAACCAATAAAGACATTGGATATTTGTGAACTAAATTTAAGAGTCAAGACCTCGTGATTCAATGTTGTAGAAGAAAAAAAATATGTTTCTTACCTTGATCCTTTTTGTGGAAAAACTACACAATCCACCATATGGTGCAACTCCGGCACATTCACAGCCTCTAAAACACGTACATCACCAGGGTGTAAACAAGGGTTCTTCGCAACAACTACCTTTCCTTCAATGAATTGCTGGTTTGAGGCACTTCCAGGATGTCTGTTACCAGAAAATTGCACAAACACCTCTCCATATTCCAATGTTCCGGTTTCATCTAGACATCCCATCATTGCTTGTCCATCTGGAATAAAGATTCTTGTTTTCAGCCGCAAATCTAGCAACTTTGATGCCCGAAATGTTTGCAGCATCATTGAAAGGAATGGTTCAACATCAGGTTTATAACCACATGTGAGCAATTCCTTCAGGATGTTAGTAGTCTCTCCTGGAGACATCAAATCCAAAGCCTCCTGTGCTTTTAGTGGGTCAGTCAATATAGCATTCAGTTGTTGTACAGCTGCCCTTTGTTTTTTCATGAAAACAAGATCTGGAACCTCAAGGGTAGATAAAAGAGTTATCAACTGGCGGTTCAGAAAACAAGGCTGATACTTGCTACATGCTAAAACATCCAACTTTGCGTTTTCTGATTCATACTTGGACATACTCTTCCTTAATGATAATTTCATTGATGATGTTGGATCAATGGCCACCACACCTTTGTAACCACCATATCGAATCTGAAAGGCAGATGGAGCAAACCCTTTATAGCCACATTTTAAGGCCACTTTCTTAGCAAAATCAGCAGATATTTTCCCAATCCCATCAGAGAAGACATATTTATTATGGACAATGTCAGGAATAACTTCAATTTCATGTCTGGCCACAGTCAAAGTTTCAGTGGACTGAACCAAAGGATTGACCCAATCTAGCAGCGTACTTTGCCACATTTTTTATATGACAAAAATCTCCCATCCACTCTCTTATATCGTCGGCTGTAAGTCCCCACCTTGAAGCAAACATCCACATAGAATTCTCCCGCAACTGGCTCGACGAGAATGCAAGAAATTCATATTTCTTTTCACCAATTACTATGCCGCTTCTGAGAATAGAAAGAATCCTCATGTAGAATTTGGTTTTCCTATCCTGATTTGTAGTGGACTTACGAGGAGACAAATCTGCCGAATAAATTTTTGCAAGCTCCTCTCCAACAAATGAAACACGAATGAAGTTATCAGTATCCATTGGGTAATTGCGTAGTACACGATTTGAGATATTGACTTCAGGACCACAATAATGTATTTGACATGATGTGATCTGGACTCTACGAACATACACCAACCCAGAATCTAAGGATATTACTGGTGATTTCGGAGGTTTCTTCAATCTGCGGTACTTCATATACTGCTCCTCAAGCCACATTGAAGGTTCATAACAGCTATCTCTTAAATTGTATAATTTATCTAGAGCATACTCTATGCATGCAAGGTCTCTTCTGTGTGCATCAACCAACTCAAAAAAATTATCATCAAGTTTTGGCCCAGGAAGCCACCCTTGCTGAACCAAGGAGTTTACCTTAAACAAGATATCATATGGCACACCAACATATTCCGGAGGACAAACCATGGCTCCCAGATCCGAGCAAGAAAAAGGGGGACATAACTCTGTGACAAGGTCCCTTAAAATACCCTTGTACCCGGGAAAGTTTTCTCCAAAATCTGGAAGTTGGAGACCATAAGGAAGCTCCAAGCATAATGCAGAAGACTGCCCAATAGCGCATGATGGAGTGAAATCAGTTGTCCGGATCCATTGGTCATCAGGGGTTTCCCTGCAATAGTTCTGAAAAGGGTCTTCATATGCTTGTCCTGAAGAGTCTGCTTCTTTCTCAAAAATCCGAGGTGCTCCCAATAACTAATAATAGGAGGCAAATTCATTAAGAATCTTTGCTTCAAAGACGAGAAGATATAACATTTTTTTTCCAGTTAAAGTACTCCGCATGAGACGTCTCAAATACATGGCAAAAAGGATAAAGGACCAAACATGCGTTGACAACAAACCTCAGTCTCTTTAGACCTTAACTTTTAAAAGTAAACAAACCTCAGTTTCTTTAGACAATGGTGCATCAACAATCATAAATTTTCTCAACATAGGAAAACATACAAAGATTGCATGCATTGATTAGCAAATTCAACATGTAGATGATACAAAGTTATCCAATCTTAAACATAAAAGGATTAGATGAATGACAAGAAATATTGGAACAAGAAAATCATTTTGATACCAACATTAACTGAAAGAAAACAGGTACCTGAAACAGAAGTTTCTTAGCAGTGTGACCACGTGGACTATACAACTCAGTCTGCCAAATGTTCTCATAGGAAAGTTCAAGCTTATATTCCACCTCATCATATTTCAGAAGACAAATTAATTTCCGTATTCTAATCCCAAAGTCCACTGAAACATTGTCCGAACACCAAAAATAAGATAGCTCTCTTTTCCGGTCTTGCAACCAAAATACAATCCTAGATTTTGCAGACTGTGCAAAGCGGTTCTTGGCTTTGGTACAATATCATGATCCATCTTCCGGGACTTCAGATAGCTTTTCCCATACCACAGGTTTCCAGTGTTGGCCAAGGAATTAATAAACTCAGCATCATTGGCGGTTTCAAACTGAATAATAGCATAATATCTCCTTGAATTTTTGGCTTGTCTGTATCTCATAGCATAAACAGATCCTTTTCCAGTTTTTCTCTCCAGCCATTCAAAAACAGCTTCTGCAGATGCACCAGAAGGGAATCCAAACAACTGTATCGTCTTACCCATCTTATCATGTGAACTTCTTCACTGCATTTATGCTGCCAAATTATTGCAGGCTTAGAAATACACAAGAGTGGAATGCACTAGTAGAGTCATGGAACTTCAGAAACCAATAACCATAAAGTCTTTATGAATCCAAAAACAGCACAAGAAAAAAAAAATAACAAAAGGTATAACGCAATTGAAATTATTAAGCTAAGGTAATTACGAGCAACAAACAAACTAGATAAAAAGTAAATACATGATTTTTGCTTCAAGTGATAATAAGCCGCCCATGGGAGCAAGGGAGGGCGGGGTAACGGGTTAGGATTATGATACGTCCAGGGTTCAATTTCTAGCCAAAAACAAGAACAAAATGATTACTTTACCCAACAAAGGTAGAAATTAAAACAACCCCAAAAGAAAAAAAAAAAACAGACCCTTTTGTTATGCACTTCACTTGCAGTTCAGACTTGAGAGATCAAGAGACATGCTTAATAACCATACACACAAAAAGTAGAGATTTTTCATTGAACTAAAGTAAACAGAAATTACCCAACACAACCAAAGAAGTTACCGATCCTAAATGTATTAAAAAAATTCGAAATATTGTTCCAGTGATGCAGGAAGAGTAAAGGACACAGATTAAGAAACCTTAGCTGCACAAAAACTTCATCAAACAAGAATTACAGCAACAAAAAACCCAACAAATCCAATAATTTGATGCCTCATGACAGAGAAGACAATAAAAAAGCAAAAATTGCAGAGAAAATTAACTCACATTGTTTCGTTGATGCAGGAAACGAACAGAACAAAGAGTGAAACCGAAGAGAGAAGAAAAGCTAGAGAGACCGAACAGGAGAGAAAATTACCTTAAGAAAACAGCAACTAGCAAGGATACACACACAGATGCTGTTCGTTGTCAATCCCTAGTCACTCTCGCCCTCACCCACCACCGCCGGTATCAGCGAAAATAAATGTTTTTTTTTTCTTGCTTTAAGTGGACAAATCAGTATATTTATTATTTTTCTGGCTAATATCCTTGAAACAAAGGTCTAATGACGCGCGCAACTGATGTCGTCATGCCTAGCATTGTAGGACTCGATGTAGGTCTTTCCGCTACTTTGGCTTTCAAAAGCGGTTTTAAATTATCATTTATCACTACAGTTAGGAGTATTTTTTTTACTTGTAACTATAAAGTTTTAGGTTTAATGTTTGTCAAAAACGAGTTTAAACCACATTATTATTAGTCAATTGTGAGGTTAAGCTTACCCCCTCTCTTAGTATAAACTAGTAATGGGCACACACAAAGTGTGCGAGAAATTTTTTTATTTTTGTTTTTGAAATAGAAAGAGAGAAAGAGAGTGATAGAGAATGTGAGAGTGGGAAGTTTTTTTTTTTTTTTTATATATATTTTTTTTTAATGAAAGATATATTAGGATTACATAGGTGAGGTTTTGAAAAAAAAAAAAACAAAATTTAGTTGTGTGAACTTACATTTTTGCTCCATATTTTTTATTCATGTTCTGTTTTAATTAGAGGGTTAAATTGGTAATTTCATAGGGTTTTGGTTGACAATGAGTGTTTTATTAATTAGTAGAGATAATACTAGCATATGGGCACATATAAAGTGTGTGAGAAAATTTTTTATTTTTGTTTTTGAAATAGAAGGAGAGAGGAAGAGAGTGATAGAGAATGTGGGAGTGAGAAATTTTTTTATTTATTTTTAATTAGAGATATGTTAGGATTGCATGTAGGTAAGGCTTTGAAAAAAAAAACAAAATTTGGTGTGTGAAATTACATTTCTGCCTCATATTTCTTATTCATATTCTGTTTTAATTAAAGGATTAAACTGCTAATTTCATAAAATTTTGGTTGACAATAATTGTTTTATTAATTAATAAAGATTATTTATTCAAAAAAATAAAAATAACTTTAAATTTATAATGCTACAATTTAATGATATTTTTTCATAATAAAAACTAAGTTCATAAATTAAATAAAAAGCAAACCTTATGTTAAAATCCGGACAAAAACAATAAGACGGGGGCCCAAAAACATAATTGGTTCAAAATTTCAAGGAATTTAATTGAACAATCACTTCCAAGAAAATTTGCGATCCAAAACATATTTTTTAACGGAAAAAAAGGGTAATTGGGGACCCGCAAAAGTGAGGGATTGACCTTGAGTCCTCACAGAACTTAAAAGTGAAGTCAAAAGGTGATAACTTGCCTGGGAAGGAATTGGAACGACATACTGTCATTTTTGTTAATAATTGGTAGAAAAAATATTTCAATTTACAACATTTTTAGTCATTTTAAAAGTATTTTCAAATTAATTTTAAAAATTGTTATAAATGTTTCACCTAAAAAAGAAGTTTGCTAAGAAAATAATAAAAACAAAGAGCGTGCATAACCTAGATGTAGACTAAATTGATTGCTTATCTGATCAATTACACTTGGAAAATATTTGACACATTTATCTTCGTACTAAATATTGTTGAACAATGTAATCCCACAGTAAAACTTGATAGAACAATTCCTAATTACACCGAAGTCTTTTATGAGAAAATACATCATATGTCGAGCCATGCAGATTGTGAAATTGAGACAGAATTGTGGTGCTCGTCTCGCACCGGCTTGACCTAGAGTTACAAACAGGAGAAGAGTAGCTCAATTTGCGTGTGTGAGAAAAATTGGATATGGTTGTCGTCACAAAATCAACAGCATGCAAGGGCTTCTTGTGTTGGCCAGAGATAGAAAACTTGAGTGTCCGGTTGTAGAGAATGACAAGACTAGCGAAGAGCCTAACAGCGTACTCAGCAATCTCCTTGGACTCGTATTCTGCAAATGCATAACCTTTAGGTCTGTCGGTTTCTTTGTCCCGAGGAATGTGCAGGTCAACCACCCTCCCTGCCTGAATTAATATATCGTACACAGCTCTTTCACTCACTCGCTCCTCCAAATTACCTGTATAAACGCAGCACCTAGATTTTGACTCGACGGTGTTGGACATGGTGGTGGAACCCTAGCTAGCTCGAAACTAACGACGTATTGTGCAAAAACCAACGCGCCTTCTGCTTCGTTAGTTTGAAGAGACTATCTGATGGTTGTAGTAATAGGAGGTGGTGCGTCCTTTGCTTTATATTGTGATCGCCGATTCCGACTTGGAGTCGGGTTCCTTGTGTAAAAGGAATGAAACGTTTCTTCTCCTTCCTCCTCCGGGAATTAGGACAAGAGAAGAAACCTCTATAGTAATTATCAAATTTTACTTTTACTTTTACTTTCACTAATAGTAGTAAAATACTATATTTGGTTAAGAGTTAATTTTACATCTATTGCTCAATTTTAGTCATTTTTCCGAAAAGCTGGGAAGATTCATAAGTACACTTTAGCCTCTTTTTGATCAACATTGTGTGATTTATCAGAGTTAAGAATCGAACTCAATACGTGCTACATGAGACATAGGGTCTAAAATTCGTTTACAATTACCAATTTGGTCCCGAGGTAAGGAATAACCAGTTACACCAAAAGATGCGGTCAATACACCCAAAACCACACCTGTAACCCAAGTCAATTCACGAGGTTTTTTAAAGCCGCCGGTAAGATACACGCGAAATACGTGCAGGATCATCATTAGGACCATCATACTTGCCGACCATCGATGAACTGATCGGATTAACCAACCAAAATTAGCTTCAGTCATTATATATTGAACAGAAGCAAAGGCCTCCGTAACGGTCGGACGATAATAAAAAGTCATAGCAAACCCGGTAGCTACTTGTACTAAAAAACAAGTAAGCGTAATTCCCCCTAGACAACAAGTAAGTGCAATTGCCTGAATCTTAAGACGATCTTCGAACCAATAATATATTTTATTGAGATAGGTAAATCAAGGGGACTTCCCCAGAAACATCCAAATACTACTTGTGACGGATGTGTAATCTAAAGTTTGAAATTTATTAATTCTTTGATTTATGATCCTTTTTTTTTCCTTTTTTATTTTTTGAAGACACTAAAGAATAGAGCCGCACGATAATTTTTGTCGTCTTGTGCCTACTGTTTTCATTTTTGGCGTATAGTGAAGTGATAGATTTGACTGCATGAAGTGACGTCGAAGACGACAGATGTTGAACTTCCCAAGCAAGGACTTCCAAGGAGCAATTCAGTGTGCACCTCCCTACTAGACTAGCAATATCCAAGAAGTTGACATCGAACTCTTCGTTGAAATGAGTTCAATTTACGTTTGACATAGGGATAAAAAATTATATTTACTAAATTATCTGTTAATCTTAAAAACTATATGCAAATGACTAATATTTATTATTATTTTGAGAGTTGAATGAATTTGACTCACCACAAAAGAGGCAGGCATATAGCGTTTACAGGATTGTATATGCCGAAATGCAGATGAAAATTAAAAATGCTAATGACAGTATAATTACAATCATCGGAAGTTAATTAAAATAAACCGAGGCAAATGACGAGGGAACTAGAACCCTTGACAGTCATACTTAAATTTAACAAACTTCAACAAAACATAACAACATATTCATAAGGGAAAGCACACCACTACCTAAGACCCCTCTGTCAATTTCCCGCCAAACACATGATTCCGACATTGTCAAGTGCGATCCCGCTCCGATAACACATAGGTGAGGAATTCCTCGTACTTATTTGTCCTCTTGATCTGGAGAATCTTGTCGAAAACACACCACGGAAAGCTGAGGAAATGATCCCTTTCCATTCCCTTGTTGCAGCGACCCCAGTAACCAGGATGATACGTAACATGGTACCAAGCTGATGCTTTCGCTGCCCATACATCATCGGTACCAGTGCTGGAATCTGACTGCGTCGCATTGAACCAGGTCCTAGCTTCCCTTATCAGTGACCTTACGGCGTAATTAATTGGCTCCAAGTCGTTTCTCCTGTTGAAAAATTTCGACACTGAAGTGATGTTCCCACTTAGTATATCTGCTTCAGTTTTGATGCCGTAGTAATCCATCAAATTTCCCAGCTTGTAGTCATACTCCCTTTTGTAGTTGATGGCATCATCGATGTAATCTTCGAAACCATCTACCTCCATGTCGGGATCATAGCACTTCGAAGCCACTTCCGCGGTGAAGGATTTAATTGAGCTTGAATGCGAATGTGATTTAAGCTCAACATTCTTCACCTGCCGGAAAAGCTTCCCAATCACACGCCTGGACTTGTACATAGGTTTGCCAACCTTTTCCATGAAATCTGGGAATCGTTCGGCACGTAGCCAGCGCGGCACTTTCACTACCATGCCGGTTTTTGGAGTGTCAACAGCATCGGAACCGAGCTTGGCGAGCTTAAGACATCGATGACTCATGGCCTTCTTTGAATCTCCGTCTGCGAAGGCAACATGTGCATGTGAAATGATCCCTAAAGTGTCATTCACTATGTAGTTTGTGAACGACTCTGCAACCTCCTGTAACAAACACAACAGAACACCAAACGCTGAATGAACAAGGCAGCGATTCATCTAATGAATATCGTTTCCTATAAAAAAAGGCCGAAACAGAATATGTTTTGAAGTATGATAAGCTACATTGTACTTGATAAATTGAGTAATACCTCCATTGTAACTTCATGATCCAGTTCAATAGTTCGTGCTGGGGTATGAATCATCGGTTCAATTGTCCGATGCGGAATTAGATCAGAGTCCCAACTAACAAAGTAAGGATCTCCATCTAAATCTCCTCCCGCGCATTCATCAGGATGAGGTCTAGTTCAACAAAAAAGAATAGGCAACAAATTATTGTCCAACAGAGGAACACTGATATGCAGACGCAATCAGAAACAAAATTTTTTATTTCATATACTAAAAGATTTGAGAAAGTTACATACCTCTTTCCTTTTTGAGGAAAAACCACACAATCCACCATGTGGTGCAATGCGGGGATGTCCACAGCTGTAAGAACGCGAACATCTCCCGGGTGTAAACAGGGGTTTCTAGCAACTACAACTTTCCCCATCACAGTAAAATGGTCTTCGCTTGTAGTAGTGCTGCCAGCGCCACTTGAGATCGAAGAGTGAGAGCATTGCACAAACACCTGACCATATTTCAGTGTCTTGGTTTCATCTAGACATCCCAACAACAATCTTCCCTTTGGAACAAATATCCTTGTTTTGGTTCGCAATTCCACAAGCTTAGATGCACAGAATGCTTGCAGCATCAATGACAGAAATGGCTCCGCATCTGGCTTGTAACCACTCAAAAGCATTTCCTCCAAAACGTCTGTGGCCTCCCCTTGAAACATCGTTTTAAGAGCTTCCAGTGCTCTTAAAGGGTCAGTTAGAACACCTTGCAGTTTCTTCAAATCCTGGTTTTGCTTTTTCTGAAAAACATAATCCGGGACTCCGAGTGTGGACAAAAGGGTGATCAGTTGACGATTGAGGAAACAAGGCTGGTTCCTGCTCCACTGGAGAACATCTAGCGCTGTGTTTTCGGATTGGTACTTGCACATGCTCTCTCTCAAAGCCAAGTTCTTTGACAATGTCGGATCAACTGCCACAACGCCTTTATGGCCACCTCTACGAATTTGAAACACTGATGGAGTAGAACTGATCCCACACTTTCTTGCCACCTCGTCAGCAAATTCAACAGATATCTTCCCAATTCCATCAGAGAAACAATATTTGACTCCGCCTCTTCTGATTTCTACGTCAGGAATGAGTTCGATTTCATCCTTGCCGACACTAAAAGTCTCCAGGGAAGAGCTAAAAGCCTGGCCCAATCTAGCACCATACTTTGCCGCATTTCTGATGTTGCTAAAGTCCCCCATCCAGTTTCTGATGTCTTGTGCGGTGAGCTCACTTCTTGACGCAAACATCCACACCGAATGATCGTGTAACTGACTTGATGAGAAGGCAAGGAACTCAAACTTCTTGTCACCAATGACTATTCCATTTGTTAGAGTAAAAAGTATCCTTTCATAAACTCTAGTTCTCCTTTCCTCATCTGCAGAAGTGTTACAATTTGTGCGCAGGCACAAATCTTTTGAATGCAACTTACCCAAGTCCTCATCCACGAAAGAGACACGAAGAAAATTATCAATATCTTGAGGGTAATTTCGTAGAACACGGTTGGAAAGATTTACCTCGGGACCACAGAAATATACTTTAGATGGTGTGACTTGAACCCTGTGCACATACACCATCCCATCATCTAAAGAAATAGCAGGCGACTCTGGAATTCTCTTGTAGGCCATGTACTCTCTGTATTGATCACAAAGCCAACTCACGGGATCATAGCAGCGCTTTTTCAAGCAGAACAGTTTGTTCAGGGCACACTCTATGTGTTCAATTCTTATTCTGCTTGGATCAACGAGCGTATAAAACATAGCATCAAGAGCTTGCCCCGGAACACATCCATGCTGAACCAAGGAATTTATCTTGAACAGGATTTTGTATGGCAAGTTAATGCCCACTGGCGGACAAACAATTGGTACAAGATCTGAATTACGGGAGAAGACATTACCTCTCTCCAGAGCGAAGCGTCCTTCATTTTCTTGGTAATGAAGAAAACTATCGTGTAAATTTGGAAGCACAGAATCATATGGAAGTTCCAAACATACGGCAGAAGATTGGCCAATGCAGCAAGATGGAGTGAAGTCAACTTCGCGCACCCAGTTTCTGTTAGAAACTTGCTTCAAAATCCGAGGGGCACCAAGTAACTAGCAAGAGAAAGAAGAAACGAAAACAAAATATCAGACAATTTTCCCAAATGCCACATATAACATAGAAAATTCTGCCATCTTTAAGGACTATATCATTTTGTTTGAACATTTAACAGTCAAATTCTTCATGCTGAAGCAATGAAGTACGAGATCAGATGTAATGCTATTATGCAGGAGGAACTAGTACATAAGTCAAAATGATGATCGGCTAAGTTTTGTTCTTGTTCGATGTAATAAAATGGTTGAATTAAGCATTTAAACTAACCAGCTTATGAACCATGATCACTAGCTAAATCATGTAGTGAATCACAGATCACAAGTCACAACTGTATGCTTATAAGTTTATAATAAAGAAGCAAAACGAGAAAATTTTGGCGGACAAACCTGGATTAGAAGAAACTTTCGAAGCTGGCCAGGAGGGCAATGCAGCTCAATCTCGCGAATACTTTCAGCGGAGATCTCAAGCTTGTATTCATCTGAATCGTAACAGAATAACAAGTACATTTTCTTAAATTCCATCCCGAAAGTCACTTGAACTTCCGATGTTGTCCACAGCACAGAAAAGCGTTCCTCGGAAACCAGGCATCCGAAGTGCAGCTTTAGAAGCTCAATGGTGTGTTCAGGCTTCCATTTTCTCGCTTTCAGATAAGAGTCCTCATCATACCAAAGGAGCCGCGCATCGGCTAATGGGATAATTTTTTCAGCAGATTCTGCATGGGTGAACTCAACTATGGCAGACGCTCTTGAGTTTCTGTCCTTCGGGGGAAAAACCTTCACATCAGAAACAGATCCTTGTCCAGTGTATTCCTCCAGAAACGCTGCCACTGCTTCCGGAGACTCGACGGAGGAAAATCCATACAACTTAATTGTCATAAGACTCATGTTGAATTGACTAGCGTTGATAGAAACTATGCTGTTTCAGACCACAAACTGAGTTAGTAACTATAAACTTATTGCAGTATCTCTGCATAAAATACTTGAAATTGAACAAAATGATCAGTAATGCAGCAAATGAGAAGAGTAACGATATTTAGACACACAAAAGTATGCACTTACTGACACTCTCACGATCGATAGAGCACCCAATGTCAGTTTTCTGTGTCTAAATAACCTTGAATTTGAAACGAAGGCACTGATATTATTACCAACAACTGATGCTCTGTAAGAAGCAAAGCTCATGAAGTCGGTATATATACTGATAGGAAAGTGAAAAGCACAGAAGTGACTTTGAATCACTTGTCATGGCGGTTGAAGCTGGGAAAAGAAAAGGAAAGAGAGGAAGAAAAACTTGCCTTGGCAGTTATCTTTTTTTCACCTTTCCTTTTTGGTCAAGGCGTCAACGATCCCCTCTTTCGCAGCAATAGCAGGTATCAAACTGTATTGTGGAGGGTGAATGAAACTCGACGTTTTGAGTGTAAGGGTTAATCACAATTATATAGTTTTTTTACTCACAATTTATTTAGTTTTTTACTCGTAATTTATTTTACATCGACCATTACTCGTACTTTTATTTAGTATGTACATGGTTAATGAATGCGTACATGCAAAATGAATATACAAAAAAATGTGTATATCAAACATACCTACTCGTATTTTAAATATTTTTAAAATTTTGTAGTTAGAAAATTGATTTAGACAAACATTTCTTTTCCAAGTCATTAGGTTGAACAAATTAAAAGAAAATAAAAAATTAGAATAAAAAAAAGTGTGCAAAAAATAAAAAAATGTGCCATCGTTAAATAAATTTGAGAACCTTCTGTGAAGTTTAGCTCCAACCCTGAGGACTTTTCTTTATGTCGACCAATCATGAGGACTTGGCCCTTTGGAGAAGCTTTGGCTACGAATCTTCTAAGATCTCACATGAGGGGTAATTTGCTCCCTTGCTAAACAAGGTTTGGACAAGATAGAAATATACTCACTGACTTGGCCCTTTGGAGAAGCTTTGCCTAAGAATCTTCTAGAATCTCACATGAGGGGTACTTTGCTCCCCCGCTTGTAGTCAAACAATTACACGACAAGCAAAATAACACCCGCTTGTTTAGGTTATTGACATCAACATACAATATCAATCAAGAAAAATAAACAAAGACTTCCGACGAAGCCTTGGAAACTTCCGGTGGAGCTTCGAGTGGGTACTCCTCAGTGGAACACCGGACAAACCACCACATAGGCTTTTTCCTTGTTCTATTGCGATGATCAAACTAAAAAGAACTCGTCGGTGGAATTTGTGCAGGAAGTCGTCGGAACAAACTCGCCGGTGCAATTGATGTAGAAGGTTTAGGGTCAGTGATAAAACGGCTAGGGCTGAGTTTTTGAGATGAGAAACGTTAAGCTGACTCTCTTAAAAATGTAACTCTTCATACACTATATGCGGCTTCATGTTTTTTTGCACTATGTTTTATAATGTTGGCACGAAAATTAATATTAGAGTGTGAGGTGTTATGGAGTTTATGAAGAGTCCACTTCTAAGAGAGGGTCCTCTTAGCGGTTCTCGAAATGAGGTTGGGCACTTGAAAACTTCCGAGAGATGAATGAATTCGACTCGCCACAAAGGAAGCTCATAACGTTTACAAGATTGTGAATAACAAATTGTAGATGAAAACTTAGAAATGCTGATCACAACGTATTTACAATCAATCAGAAAGTAACTAAAATAAACCGAGGCAAATGACAAGGGAACTAGAACCCTTGACAACCGTACTTACATGGACTTTTAACAGCGTAAACAAAACATAACAAAACATAATCATTTGGGAAAACGCATGCTTCTGAATTTGTCAAGGAGGACGCTGCTTTGATCAGCCATAGGCAAAGAATTCCTCATACTTGTTTTGTCCCTCTTGATCTGGATGAGCTTATCGGAAACACACCACGGAAAGCTGAGGAAGTGATCCCTTTCCATTCCCTCATTGCAGCGACCCCAGTAAACTGGATGATACGTAACATGGTACCAAGCTGATGCTTTCGCTGCACATACATCATCGGTATCAGTGCTGGAATCTGACTGCGTAGCATTGAACCAGGTCCTAGCTTCCTTTTTCAGTGACCTTATGGCGTAATTGATTGACTCCAAGTCCTTTCTCCTATCGAAAAATTTCGACACTGAAGTGATGTTCCCACTTAATATATCTGCTTCAGTTTTGATGCCGTAGTAATCCATCAAATTTCCCAGCTTGTAATCATAGTCCCTTTTGTAGTTGATGGCATCATCGATGTAATCTTCGAATCCATCTACCTCCATGTCAGGATCGTAGCACTTCGAAGCCACTCCCAAGGTGAACGATTTGATTGAACTTGAATCTGAATGCGATCCAACCTCAACATTTTTCACCTGTCGGAAAAGCTTCCCAAGCACACGTTTGGACTTATACGTAGGTTTGTCAACCTTTTCCATGAAATCCGGATATAGTTTGGCACGTAGAGAACGCGGCACTTCCACTACCACGCCGGTTTTTGGAGCGTCGACAGCATCGGAACAGAGCTTTGCGAGTTTCATACATTGAGCACTCATAGCCTTCTGTCGCTCTCTGTCTGCAAAGACAGTATGTGCATTCGAAATGATCCCCAACATGTCGTTAACTATGTAGTCTGTAAACGACTCTGCAACCTCCTGTAACAAACGCAACAGACCACCAAATGTTGAATGAATAAAGGCAGAAACACATGTGTACAATATATTTTGAAGAAAGGATAGGCGGCTATATTGTACGTATTATATTGAGTAATACCTCCATTGTAACTTCATGTTCTAATTCAATAGGTCGTTCTGGGGTGTAATTCATCGGTCGAAAATTCCGAGGTGGAATTAGATCAGAGTCCCAGCTAACAAAGTAGAAATCTCCATCTAAATCTCCTCCTGAGCATTCATCAGGATGCGGTCTAATTCAACGAGAGAAAAAAAATAGTGAGTACGTAAACAATTTAAGGCAACAAATTATTGCGAAACAGAGAAACACTACTATGAAGATGCAATCCAAAATAAATTTGTAATTTCATCTACTACAAGATTTGAGAAAGTTAACATACCTCTTTCCTTTCTGCGGGAAAACTACACAATCCACCATATGGTGCAATGCCGGCACGTTCACCGCTGTAAGAGCACGAACATCTCCCGGGTGTAAACACGGGTTTCTAGCAACTACAACAGTCCCGTTCACAACAAAATTGTCTTCGCTCGAAGTAGTGTTGTTGTGAGTGCCAGTGGAGATCACGCCGTGAGAGCATTGCACAAATACCTGACCATATTCCAATGTTCCCGTTTCATCCAGACATCCCATCATTGATCTTCCATTCGAAACAAATATCCTTGTTCTCGTCCGCAGTTCCGTGAGCTTGGATGCACAGTAGGCTTGTAGCATCAATGACAGAAATGGCTCTGCATCTGGCTTGTAACCACACAAAAGCATGTCCTTCAAAACGTCTGTGGCCTCCCCTTGAAATATTGTTTCGAGTGCTGCTTTTGCTCTTGATGGGTCAGTTAAAACGCCTTCCAGTTGCTTCAAAGCCTGTCTTTGCTTCTTCTTAAAGACATGATCTGGGACTCCAAGGGTGGAGAAAAGGGTGATGAGTTGACGATTGAGGAAACAAGGCTGGTACGTGCTCCATTTAAGAACGTCAAGTGCTGTGTTGTTGGATTGGTACTTGCGCATGCTCTCCCTCAGTGCCAATTTCTTTGACAATTTTGGATCAACTGCCACGACACCTTTGTAGCCACCTATACGAATTTGAAATGCTGATGGAGTAGAACTTCTTCCACACTTTCTTGCCACCCTTTCAGCAAATTCAGCAGATATCTTCCCGATTCCATCAGAGAAACAATATTTGACTCCCCTCCTTTTGATTTCTACATCAGGAATGAATTCGATTTCATCCCCATCGACATTAAAAGTCTCCCTGGAAGAGCTGAAAGCCTGGCCCAACCTAGCACCATACTTCGCCACATTTCTGATGTTGCTAAAGTCCCCCATCCAATTTCTGATGTCTTGCGCGGTGAGCTCACTTCTTGACGCAAACATCCACACTGAATGCTCGCGCAACTGACTTGATGAAAAGGCAAGAAACTCAAACTTCTTGTCACCAATGACAATGCCATTTCTTAGAGTAGAAAGTATCCTTTTATAAACTCTAGTCCTCCTGTCCTCTTCTGCTGAAGTGTTACACTTTGTGTGCAGACATAAATCTTTGGATCGTATCTTACTCAAGTCCTCGTCCACAAAGGAAACACGAAGAAAATTATCAAGATCTTCAGGATATTTTCGTAGAACACGGTTGGAAAGATTTACCTCCGGACCACAAAAGTAGACTTTAGATGGTGTGACTCGAACCCTGTGCACATACACCATCCCATCATCTAAAGAGATAGCAGGCGAGTCTGGAATTCGCTTGCACGCCAGGTATTCTCTGTACTGCTGAAAAAGCCAACTGACGGGATCATAGCAGCGTGCTTTCAACCGAAACAGTTTGTCCAGTGCACACTCTATGTATTCAATTCTTATTGTGCTAGGATCAACCAGCTTATAAAAATGAACATCAAGAGCTTGCCCCGGAACACATCCATGCTGAACCAAGGAATTTATCTTGAACAGGATTCTGTATGGCAAGGTAATGCCCACTGATGGACCAACAATCGGAACATGATCTGAATTACACGAGAAAGTGGTACCTCTTTCCAGCTCGAAGCATCCTTCATTTTCTTGGTAATGAAGAAAACAATCACGTAGATTTGGAAGCACAGAATCATACGGAAGTTCCAAACATACGCCAGAAGACTGGCCAATGCAGCACGATGGAGTGAAGTCAACTTCCCGCACCCAGTTTCCATCAGAAGCTTGCTTCAAAATCCGAGGGGCACCAAGTAACTAGCAAGAGAAAGAAGAAAGGGAGGGAAAATAAATCAGCCATTTACCCCAAGTGCCACATTACATAGTAAATTATGGTATTTATAAGGAAGATGACAGGTTGTTTCATGATATTTGACAGTTACTAGTAATCTTTCACACATGGTTTAATTAAACTTCTATATTGATCAACTTTTGAAACTTTGATCACTAGCTAAATTTAAAAGTTACAATCGTACATTTCATAGCAAAATCTAAAGCAATGATTCACAAATTTCAGCTGCATCATTGTACTAAAGAAATAGCAAAAAACTGAGAAAATGTGACCGACAAACCTGGATTAGAAGATACTTCCTAAGCTGATCGCGCAGTGCTATGTAGCTCCATCTGGCTAATACTTTCTGAGGAGACCTCGAGCTTGTATACAGCAGAATCATAAGAGAACGAGAAGTAGATATTCTTAAATTCTGTCCCAAACTTCACTTGAACATCCGGTGCTGTCCAAAGAACAGAAAACTGCTTCTCGGAAACCAGGCATCCGAAGTGCAGCTCTACAAGTTCCATGTTGTGTTCAAAGTTATCAACCTTCCATTTCCTAGCCTTCAGATAAGAGCCCCCATACCACAGCGACGGTCATCAGCTAATGGGATTATTATTTCAGCAGATTCTGCTTGTGTGAACTCAACTATGGCGGATGCTCTTGATTTTCCATCTTTCGGGGGACGAACCTTCACTTCAGAGACTGTTCCTTCTCCGGTGTATACCTCCAGGAACGCCTTCACTGCTTCTGGTGACTCGACGGAGGAAAATCCAAACAACTGAATCGTAGTATTAACCATGTTGATATTGTTGATGGCAACTGCTGTTTCACAAGTACAAATTGAACTCAGTAACTATGAACTCATTACACTTTCTCAATGCATAAAATTACTTGAAATAGAATAAAATGATCAGTAATGCAGCAAATGAGAAAAGAGTAACGATATTTAGACGCACAAAATGATACACGTGCCAACACAATCTATTAAAATGTGACGGACTTTGTATCTAAATAGAATTATCGACGAGAAAAAGAGTGGTACCTTGAATTTGAAATATGTATGAGCACTGAGATTATTACCAACAAAATTAACGCTGCTGTGTTGTGAGGAGCAAAGCTAATGAAGCTCACATATATATAGGTCCATCATATGCACTGTAACTAACTTGTAATTGCAGTTGTAGCAGAATAAAAGAAGAAACCTTGTACTTGCAGTTGAAGCAGAATAAAAGAAGAAACCTTGCCACTCCAGTTATCCTAGTTACACTTTCCTGTGTGTCTTCCTGTCAAGCAAGAGATTTTTCAGTGTGTTTGGAATACGAACGGAATACCACATTTCATTATACTATTAGAGAAAAGATTTTTTTTTTTTATGTCTCTCTAATTATATAATGACATGTGGTGTTTTGCTCCGTATTCCGGACACACTAAAATATCTCTCCTATTGTGAAGATCACGCCGTGTTCCGGACACAATAGAACGTAGCAAGATCATGATAGATTGGTTTGTTTGTTTGTTTAATCATAATTTATTTAAAGAATAACGCTATAATTACACATTATGAACCTTTTTATTTATATGTTTTTAGTAAAACAATAAAATTAATAGGTTAGATATTTAGTTGTTAAAGGGAGGAGAATGGACAAGGATCGAACTTCCACCAGATTGAAAAGGCATAATTGTTTTTAGCACAACTACATTACCATTACATGTAAGATTATTTGTATTTTAATAAGTTTGAAATTCCTAGTTTTGTACTTAAAAAGTTCAAAAGTCAAATTGGTGTTATAGGGCGATTATATCTTAATTGAGCTCCTAATGACGAATTGAACAATATGGCCAGGAACCTTCTGGAAGTTTTGGACCAATCCTAAGGTAAGCCCTGGGGAGAAGTTTTGACCAAGAACCTTCTAGAATCTCACACGTGAGATGGGCAAATACCTCCCATGAAGGGTTATTTTTGGTCCTTGGCGAGCAAGGTTGAGAGAGCATATATCCTTGGCGAGCAAGGGGTTTTTTTTTTTTGGGTACTTTTTGGAAAGTCGGATCTTGCTCCGAAAGGAGTCAATAACCTACTTTGGAACTTCACCAATTCTTATTCTATGTACTTCAAGAAAGCAAGAAATGTGGATGTTGGCTAGGTTTGTTGGCTTGGGCAATGCACATTCGTGTTCAAAATTCTCCCATTTAATATCACGAGAAAAACTTGTGTACGGCTTAGTTTGCTACCGGACATTATTAAGTAGCACTACAATTCACTTAAAAATCTACCATGCAGTAGATTTTAAATATAATCTTTTTCATTCTTTTATATTTAAATGTCGCACCTCTTTAAGAGTTTTGACTACATGGACTTACTTGGACTTGTGACTTGAATCCCTTTTTTAATTAAATAAAGCCCAAAACTATTTTAATTACCATATATGTGTATGACATCTTAAGGTCTAACTAAAGCCGACAGTGAAATTAAGGGACACTTAGTAGGCATATCATGGTTACCTGGATTAGTAAAAGTATCCGCGAACTAATCATGATACTCTTTCGAACCTTGATTGTAGTTGCAATGCAATTCAGTTCCTCTATATCCCAATCGAATACGCTTCAGTCGAAACAGAACAGGTACAATTTATTCCCTTAAAAATTAAAAAGATGAATTATACAAAATTCCCCTCCAAACGGAAGGATATTCATGAAGAACTGATAAGCCTAATATCTTGTTCTACCAAAACAAAAAACACTGGCTGCCTGAATTTGCTCGATTCATCTTGCACCCACATCCAGAAGACTAAAACAGAATCAACTCAAATCACTTCACCTCACCTCTCACCTCTCAAATAGATTTATATGGCAAAACGTAGCCCTTGAAAGCAGAGTTAACTATATCAACATCTCGGCAATCTGAACAGCATTAAGTGCAGCTCCCTTGCGTATTTGATCACCGCATACAAATATATCCAACCTGCTAAGAGAAATGCCATGAGTGGCTTGCCGAAATATATACAATTAGAAAGCGAAAGATTAGTACTGTTCGCCTTACCCATAGTTCCCTTCTTGGGATACATCACGACGGATTCTGCCTACTGCAACATCATCTTTGTTTGACACCTCCAATGGTGTAGGGAAGTTATTCGCTGTTCGATCATCAATAACCACCAGCCCAGGCGCTTTCTTCAGAATTTCCCTTGCAGTGTCCTGGACAGTGAACAGATTTATAACTCAAAGGAGAGCGTGAAAAGATAGGAATCTTAACACCTTCAAGAATGTCTCATTATTTTGCTAGTTTGAGAGAGGACTGTAGAAGTCACGCAAAACCAAATGCTACACCATAGTACTTATAATGTTAGGACTAACTGAAAAATATTAAGAAATGTGCTTGAAAGAGGTTAAAGAGAATGAAAGCACCGACTGAACTGATGTTCACTTAACCAAACCATTACAAATAGGATACAAGAATAGCCTAAAATCACAAGAGACACAAAAGAATCATCACAACGCTTAACTGAAGGTTTGCAAGGTGAAAACCATTGATGCAAGTATTGAGCAAAATAGAGTTCACTGCTGAATTATAGCCTACATAAAAGACAGCATTATGGTATTACCTCGTCAAGTTGGTTCTCAAATTGAAGATTTATACTCTCAGCATGTGCCCGCATAACAGGAACTCGTATACATGTGGCAGTTACCTTGACATCATTGTCACTCTGAGGAAATGGATAACGAATAAATTACACATATAGCTATGTTATTAACATCTGCAAACTTACAAGCTGCTTTCCAATTAAATTATTCTGACTGATAAAAGTACAAAAGAAACTAACCCATATTTTTCGTGTCTCCTTGACTAGTTTCATTTCCTCTTCATTATATCCATTTGAAAGAACTGCTGAGTTGTGCGAAAACAAATTAAATGCATACTGCAAAAGGCAAAGGCAAATGTACGGTTCAATGACTCATGGAAAACAAATTTAATTTCCACTACAAACTTGAACAATTCACAACAAATAGACAGACCTGTCGTGAAAATATCTTAGTGGTTGGTGGCTTCCCTTCCAAAACCTTAGTACAGAAATCAAATTACATTACTACAATCGTAAACTGAAAAAAAAAAAAAAAAAAAAAAAAAAAGAACAACCAAAAACAACGAGAGAGATGAAGTAAAACAAAACCTCCTGAGTTTGCAGCTCAAGCTCTCTCATGGCAGCAGCACCAGCTCCACTAGCAGCCTGATACGTACTAACAACCATTCGCTTTACCTGGAAACGGATTCATAAATCATAACCCAATCCATCTCAACTAATTTCACAAAACCCCATTTAAGAATTCACATTTAAAATTCAAATAGAACACCAAAGCAACCAACTTTGTACCTCCAAAAACAAGCTCACGAAAATCCGATTTCAAAACAAACCCGAAAACATGCACAAAAATCTCATAACTACAACAGGAAAGCAAACAACTTTATGGCTCCACAACCAAATGCAAGAAAAACCCATTTCACAAACCTTAGAATGGCGATGGAGAGGGGTGACAGCCATTAAACAAATAATGGTGGAGCAATTAGGGTTAGCAATGAGCGCCCCCTTTCCCTTTCCAACCTTGATACCCTCCATAGCCTCCGGATTGACTTCTGGGACCACAAGCGGCACGTCATTCTGCATCCGGAAAGCAGAGCTATTATCAACGACAATGGTGCCGCGCTCTACGGCGACGGGACCGAACTCTTTGCTAATTGACCCGCCGGCGCTGAATAGGGCGATATCGACGCCGTCAAAGCTGTCGTGGGTGAGCTCCTCAACGACGTAGTTTTCGCCGAGGAACTTCAAGTTCTGACCCGCGGAGCGCTTGGACGCAAGCATCTTGATTGACCGGAAAGGGAAGTCGCGGTCTTGGAGGACAGAGAGGAACTCCTGACCGACGGCACCGGTAACGCCGACCACCGCAACTGATGGGCCGGTCTCTTGGAGAGACATTCGGACTGTGAATGGGCCGGGTCGCGACTTGGACACGGAGACCCGGGACCGGCCGGAGAGGGGAATCTTGAGGAGGAGGCCGTTGTGATGGTGGGTGAAAGTGGACATTTTGGAGAATCTGGTTGGAGCCGAGGAGAAACGAGTGGCGGCGGCGGCGGAATGGGGTTTTGAGTTTTGCAAACGTTGGTTATATACTGTGGTCTTTGTGACTGTTGAACTTGAAATAGCACGTGGGATTCTCCGTAGAATCTTTATTACCTCACCGTGCAATATAAATTTCTGTGTCAACGTTACAAAATATTATACTAAAAGTATGAGGTAACAGAAAGTTCAGCATTTCTTAAATATTATGTATCTTGTCATATTTAATCATGTGATAAGAGAGATGAAGATAGAAAGGTATGTCATGAATATATAAGCGACGTCATCCAACTTAAAAATAGAAGGTGAATCACTCAGGAATGAAGCATTAGAAGGAACAAATTACTTTCACGTCTAGCGGATTACAGTACAAAGTCTGCCTAGAAGATCAGACTGCGAGAGCATCCTCAATCTTGATGCAGCTGAAGAATCAATCCTCCACCGGTGTCAGTACAACATCTTGGAGAAGTACAAGCTTTGCTCTCCCGCCGTACTCTTCTGGCAAGTTTTCTTCGCCGATTTCCTTTCTGAAGTTTTTTGTTCCTTCCTCATTGCTCACAATCACAATCTGCAGTCACGATCGCAAACTAAGATAACGGCAAATATGCTTGTACGTCATCATTCTTCTACATTCAGAAACAATGAAACCCGATTCGTAATATAACAACTTCATCCAGATTGTTGCACCAGCTTGATTCCATAGAGGTACCAAAAAAGAGTTGGACAAAACTAGAAAAGTTTCATGTTTATCGAGTTGGACAAGACATACCTTCTCTTGCGTTCCCTTATCAAGGAAGCGAGAAATCATCCTCCAGACACTTACAAAAAACCATGGCATGCTTAAGATGAACAACTTCGCTAATCGCTCAGGGTAGTAAGACTGCACATTTAAACGAAAACAAAGTGATTAAGCAACAGTTCATGCATAGCGAGGAAATGCTCTCGCCAGACCAGGGGTTTGTTCTAGCACATGTTTTGCTAATAAAATAGCGCCACAATCTTCATGGAGGGATTCTATCATATTTACACCAGAAGTTTGAAGTTGTCAAAAATGCTAAATCACCTGCAGAAATTGAAATCCGGTGATAAACCCTCGCGCATCAACATTTTTGTATGAAAGTTGTTGCAAATCAAGAATGACGACCATCTTTTCGTTTCCAATTTCTTTTCCCCTGAAAGAGCTAGACAAGCAAATCGAAAAACAAAATGTTGAGACATCCTGATTGATCTATGTAGAAAAGTTGAATGTATTCAAATTTAAGAGAGATAAAAACTCATTCATTACATAAAGTTAAACCATCTTCCATCGACCGAAAGAAGCATGGGCACAATTCTATTTATGTGACCAGTGTTTTCATAAGCCCTATCATGTACTGGCTCTAAAGATTCATAATCCTGCGTACGACATGTATTCTTTACACATCCGATCATGCCTTCCATAAACCTCATGCGAAGGCAGCTGCTTATGCTTTCGGTGTTTTGAATATAGACATTTCAAATTGAGAGGTATCTTGTAATTGCTTTGAATGGACATTTCAAGAACTCATCAAAAGGGTAACCTTTTGATGATTTGAATTGACATTTCAATACATTGCGTTTTAAGCAGCTCAAATCCACAACCAGCCGATAAATTCAGCAATGTATGTATTACATCAAATGTACTCTAGAGTTTTTGACAATACAACTGTTTTGAATAAGACATTTTAATATTAGCTAAGTTGAGAGGTACCTTGCAATTGTTTTGTCAAGCAGATGAACCACGAATTCTGCAACAAGAGACGAACTAAAGTGAATCCATAATTCACCAGTTACTTTACGCTAACCAACTAGCCTAACCCACATTTGCACTCGCCAAACTGCTTTATACTTGAACTTCTCTCCAATTGCATTTTAAAGAGTGATATAATTACCAAGATTTGATGAAACAATAGAAAATTAGACAGAGATAATTACTCTTGAATTGGAGCTGGTCCTTGGAAGGACAATGCTTGCTTGCTTTCACAACCATCACAGGGTACCCGTCCTTGGACAAACCCTGCAAGAAGATCTTTCTGTCTGCCAACTGATCCTTCACTTCGGCATCCGAAACGAACCCATTTGGAACAAACGAAGCCCTCCATTTGTGCCACTGAACAAACGTCTTTGCTGCTTTGTCCGGGTCCATTGATCTCGCAATCAAGAACCTCATGAGAGTTGGGTCTCCAAACTTCTGCCAACAAAACAACCATGGATTAATATGAAGTACAAAAGTGAATGATTAATATTATACACTGTATGAGAAAGCATTGCAATTTGCTCCTACCTCAGTGGCAGATCCAAGCTTTTGCACTGATTTCTTCATCTCAGCCACTGCAAAATCTTGGGTTTTCTCCATTTTTGGTTTCTGGGTCTGAGAGTTGCTTTGTTTCTGGGATTTTACAAGGAAGAAGAAGTGATTTGGAGAGAGAGTGTTGCGTTGACGAAACGGACTCTCTGGATTCCTACGGACAAAAGGGCGGGAGAAGTAAAGAACGGAGAAATGGGACAATGCTGGTTTGTCGCTAGTGACTCTGAGTTCGTACAAGCATCTCCACTCTTTTGATTCTCATGGAAATTTGGAAGAACATTATAAAAAATTTAAATTGATTTGATAATTTAACGGCCAAAAGGTTGGACCATCATTGCCATTGACGACTCGCTGTATTTTGTTTTTTTATATATATCTTTTTTTGCGTTACAATTTATAGGAGGAAAGTAATTTTTATAAATTTGTTTTAGCTTCTCACAAAAATAAAAAATTATTTATGATATTAACGGAGAAGATTAAATATAATTATTTAAAAAGTTAAAAAATATATCTAAAATACAAAATAGAGGATTCGAACGTAAGATGGAGTACATTACTGTATCCAACATGACTAATTTCATGTATGTGTTTCTCTTATTTACCTCACCAGACTCAACCCATTTAGTTTATAAAAAAATTACTCAAATATTTTAAATTATCTATTCATGTAATTCTTCCAATTATCGTTATTGTTTTCAATCGCAAGAGGTCGATATTATTATGAAGCATGACACATGCTCGCTGCTCAGCGTGCCTTGCCGATATTGGACACCCCTCTCAAACACATGGTCTCTCACCACCCACGCCTGAAAAAAATATTAATTAAATAGCATCATGCATAGTCGTGGGTTGAAAATAAAAATAATAAAAACAAGATGACGTTGACAGTGACTTAAGTGAATGAGGATCCTCACCGGATCCTCTTTTTGAGGATTTAGAGATCTTCAAATCGTGTCTGTTCATCGTACATCGTGCAATAATAAATTATTTTAAATACTTTTATTTTAAATTAAATATAAATGGTACTTAACGAAAACTGACCGCACGATATACGATAAACGAACACGATTTGAGGATCTCCAAGATCCTCCTGGGACTTAAGTTAATTCTTCACCAAACTTCCCTTTGTATCATTGACAGTGGCAGAGCCAGCATGAGATCATTGGTTCTTGATCTTAACAACTTTGAAAACTCTATGTATATTTGTATGGGGTCTGATATCTACACATCTCATTTTACTTCTCACACACCTTTTTAATTTTCGACCGTCGGATCGAGTGAATTAAAGAAGATTAACGGACAAAAATTATTAAGGGATGCGTGAGAAGTAAAATGGAATGTGTGGATAGCACAACCCTATTTGTATGTGTATTAAATTTGACACTATAAACAGCTAGCACAAACTAAATTACAACATTCTCCTCTTACTCTCTCTTGTGTGCATCTCTATCATGCCCACCAAATGTTCAATGAAATGTCTCAGTTTACAAGTCTTGAGTCTTTAATATTACTCCACAATTTTCTACAGCCACTCTCAACAAGCCTTTCAAGACCACAGTAGCTGTTGGCATATATGTTGACAAAAATCGACAAGTTCCTAGCAGATGCTTGACAAAATGGCCTAATGTAGTTTTTTGAAGTCAAAATCATGAACCATTATTTGAAAATTCTAAACTCCACCACTAATCATTGATCATGCAAAAACCAAATGGGTTGGGTGGCCTCTCCTCTCAAAAATTCTGCTGGTACATGACGTTTTACCGAAAGAATGTATGCATACACGGTCGAAGATTCAACAAACAAGAATCCCAATGTATACTATACAATACACGGGTGCATGCTTGAACAAAGGATTAAACGACGGAGTGACAGAAGACTCGTTACCTTTGAGGCGGGATAAGTTACACATCCGGCAAGCGCCCGGTGAAGAATGCAAGCTAAGCTAAAATGTTTGAACCAAATTAAATTTACAAGATTGGGCAATGGATTTAAGGCACGAGTCATATTTCAACATAACTAGATCCAAATAACTAACACAATTATGTTTGGCAAGATGCCAATCATCATATGGGAAGGAACCAATTCAAGCTGTTGGAGTCTGACACAATTTATTTTCCTCCGGACCGATACTGATACTCCCCCATGTTTGTGCTCAATTTCTTTCGAGTCTCGGATGCAAGAGGCCGCTCTGCAACTGAGTCCGGTGCAGGCTAGTCAATTAGATCTAAACGTAGAAATAATACACATACTTTCAACTGCAATCTCTACTGAACATTTTGATAATGAAACAATCTGTACGCGTCACGGAAATCAAGAGACTTGAGCTAACCACTAAATAAACGCCTGTTGCAAATAAAAATGAGAATTAGATTACGACGACATCTACAAGCTTGTGGTTCTAGGATAACAGATTCGACGAACAAAGAACTACTAGTGGATTAAACATAGACGCATGCGCGCACACACTATTTTTCAGATGTTGCTAATATAAAGCATGATAAAAATAGAATAATACCGGATAGTAGTTACCTAATCAGTGAAAGGACTCATGAAATCACTTGAAGAATATTGCTGCAATATTGGGATGCCTAGTTTCTCGTTATCCACATAATCCACAATTGGCTCCTGCTTGACTAGGGCACCACTGTTCTCCACCTGGATCCTTCCAGGGTTCAAGTTGCTCATTTGCGATTCAAAATCATCCACTGCAAATCGACTTG